GGCATGGCTTTGTGCTTGAGCCTTGACCTACGAACCAGATCACAGTTCCATCCCAGGTCAGGACACATGCCCACTTGCCAGCTCGATCCCGTGTGGGTTGTGCAGGAGGCAGCAGATCAATGCTTTTCTCACCACTGATATTCCTATCTCTCCTTCACTCTCCCTTCCTCTCTGAAATCAGTGTGTGTGTATATATATATATATATATATATATATATATATATATATATATACACATTATTTTGATTTCACTATCTCAGACATAGGCCAATTAGTATTCATTCATGTAACACATAAAAAATAAACTCCCCCCAACACTTAGATTTGTTTTCTACAAATGTTATCAACAAATGAATACTTTTCTTCTTTTCATGCAGAAGGGAACAATTTTAAGATTGTTAACATCCAGTGTTGCAGGAGATATGAGGTACTTTAATACCCTGTTGGTTTGGCAGGTGTGGCTCAGTGGTTGAGCATATACCCAGGGACCAGATCACAGTTCGATTCCCAGTTAGGGCACATAACTGGGTTGTGGGATTGGTCCCCAGCAGAGATCCTGCAGGAGGCAGCAGATCAATGACTCTCATTACTGATTTTCTCTCTCTCTCTCCCTCTCCATTCCTCTCTCTGAGGAAATCCTGTTGATGAGTTTCTGAAAAGCTATTTGGTTTTGGGTGGCAATTTAACAGTTATTACCAATACTTTTAAAGTATACATTATTTAATCCAGAAATTTATTTTTAGGAAAACCACAGAAAAACATATGCTCTTCACAGCAACATTTGTAAGCTGGGAATAACCTTAAGATGAGAAATGTAGCACGCCTCCTACTGGGGATGTGCCTACAACCAAGGTACATGCCATGCCTTGACCAGAGTTGAACCTGGGACCCTTCAGTCCCCAGGCTGACGCTCTATCCACTGAGCCTTATTTTTTAAAATAAGTATCAGTTATAAAAGAAAAAAAAGGTATTGCCTAAACAATTATTCTTACATGCATATTTCTATAATTTAACCACTGAACCATTTTCTATAGTATAACCTACAGCAGAAAAAAAAAAACATTTTGTAGCACCAAATTCTAGCATGGTACTCAACTGCTTAAATTCAGATGGCAAGGTAAAAATCCATTAACATTCTAGAGCAAGCTACTTATATACAATTTGTCAAATTGATTATTTTCCTTCATTCCTTAAGAGACTTTTTATAGCTCTACCAAACCCCTTGACTTGCTCATCAAGGATTAAATGAGGAAATTGGCTTTGAGCCTAAACTCATACTTCTTCCAGTGAATTTTAAGACTTTCTGATCACATTTAAAATCTGTATCAAAGTACTGTCTACCAGTATAACCTTAGGAAGCAGTGTGGCAAAAGCTATCAAAAATTTATAATGTGTGTATTATTTGCCTCAGCAACTCCACAGCTATAAATGTAGCTTAAAGAATTACATGTAGGCAGCAATATACTTTCAAAGATCTTATAGCAATATTTTTATAATTGGGTAAAACAAAGCACCAATTGGTACATTTATGCAATGAGATATTATGCAACCGTTTAAAGCACAGTATGGATAGTGAAAGACATTCATAATATATTGATGAATGGAAAGTTATAGTACAAAATATCTAGCATATCTCATATATGTGTATATTTGGTTATGTATGTATGTGGTATTGGGAGGATTTAAGAGTATGTTTTAATGTCTGGTAGGGCTAGTTCCCTTTATTGTTTTCCAGTTTCAGTTACTCTCATATGTTCTCTAAATAAAACCCAAACAACAACAAAAAAACTATGGTAATTTTTATTGAGATAGCTTAAATGGAAAAACATGTTTTGATGTTGAGTCTTACCTAAAAACATGGTATAATCCTTTTATTTTGTTCAAGACAATTTTTAAGTGTTTTATTTTTATGCTTTCCTCATAGGTTTTGAATATGTCTTAAGTTTACACATCTCTTTTGAAATCATAAAAGGTAAATTCTCTACAAGTATATTTCCTAACTAATTTAGGTGTGTGTGTGTGTGTGTGTATATATATATATATATATATATATATATATATATATATATGGTCTTTTATTCTTCTTAGTAAATATTTTATAGAACTATGATTATACATATGGAAAAGTGCATAAATCATAAGTGGACAGCTTCATATTCATAAAGTGAATGCACCTAGGAACCAGCACCTGGAACATAAATTGAATATTACCAGCACCAGAGAAGCTTCCTTGTACTCTTCCAGTCCTTGTTGAGCTAAAGAGGACAGTTGGAAAAAAATGTATATGTTATGAATCCTTTTACATTAAGTTCAAAACCAGATAAAACTAATTGGCGATTACATCAGGGTAGTGCTTACCTTTGGGAAGGGAGGTAGTGACTGCAAGGGGGCGCTGATTTCTGACACCATAGGTAAGTTTTCCCTATTTTGAACTTCACTTAAATGGAATCAGGGTTTGTACTCTTTTTTTTTCTTGTGAAGGCTACTGATATTTCTGTTAATAAACTGATACTTTACTAAGTTCTCAGAGTGTTTCTACAAATTCCTCAGGTTTCCCAGATAGAAAATTATATCTGCAAATAGTTTCACCTCTTCCTCCCCAAACTTCATTAGCTAAAACTCCAACACAATATTAAGTAGTAGAGGAGATAATGGGCCTTGTTCCTGACTTGAGTTGGAAAGCCTCTTTTGTTTCAACACCCCCTGCTGGGGATCGAGCCTACAATGGGCCATGTGATCTGACTAGCAATAGAACCAGCAACTTCCAGGTGCATGTTGACGCTCACCCACTGAGCCACACCAGCCAGGCCATAGATTTTTACCGGAAGGCCCCTCTCAAGTATATAAATCTATAATCTTATGGTATTAAATTGTATAAGGAGTCAGAAAATATTTCACAAAAGTTTTATGAAATATTTTACCTTGACATTCTCTTTCATTTATGAATACACTTACTGTTACTAACTTTCCCACCTTCCAACGACTAATGGTGATTCAGGAAAAACAGTTTAGGCTTTGCATATAGTTCTAAAGCCATTACATATGTTATTTTAACTCCCATGGCTAAATGATGATGTAGTTTGAGAAGTGCATATCTTAAAATGCCTGAATTTAATCAGAAGGAACTCAAGGAAGGATGACAACTGTAGTTAAACTTATGTTTTTCCCATCATCAGAAAATTGATTTTATTTCTAATGTAAAAAAAAATTTACTCTGGCAAACTAGTTTAAAACTGTCCATATCAGCCGAAGCCGGCTCAGCAGATAGAGCGTCGGTCTGCAGAGTGAAGGGTCCCAGGTTCGATTCCGGTCAAGGGCATGCACACTGGCTGTGGGCACATCCCCAGTAAGGGGTGTACAGGAGGCAGCTGGTCGATGTTTCTCTCTCTTCGTGTTTCTAGCTCTCTATTCCTCTCTGTAAAAAATCAATAAAATATATTAAAAAACAAAAAAACAAAAACAAAAACAATGAACTGTCCATATCAATAACACATGATTATTTTTTTCAAGTATATACTAGCTTTCCCTTTATTTGAGAAGAACCATAATTTAAGGCTATTTTCCCTCCAATTTAGGAAGTAAAATAAAATGTTAAATGTTATAATACCTAAATAGTGATACTAATAATTTAGTTTTTATACTGATACTTGGAGAACTAATAATTCAACATTTATTATCACCACGATTTTAACTTAAATCCAGCCCCTTAAGTGAAGTGTTTTCCTTTTCCATTTCAGTACTAATTTCATATCTTTGAAAGTCATCAAGCAATAGTGATTGATGTGATTTACTGAATAACTTATTATTGACCAGATGAATTTTTATACTACCTCCTTTACAATTAGCAAGTTCACAGAATAAACAAAACAAAAAGAACAAAACCAAACCCCCGTCTTTAACCCCTAAATAGTACATTTTCCTCCAACTTTCCTGAAAATATAAAAACATAAGTGGCCACATACTGAGCTAAACCATTTAATTTACTTGATCAGTCCTCTTTTTTAATTAAATTTGAAAAAAATTAGAAAATTATCACTTTGAAATTAGAAAAGCTAAAGCATAGGGCAATAAACTAAAAATAAAATCCAGTGGCTAAAAATAACTTATAAAAGTACTAGGATAAATTATATCACATATCTCAGAAAAAGAAGCAAAACTACTAAATGTCTTTTCTTCCAGATAATACTGTTTTCTCCCCATAAAGAAAAAAAAAACACAGGAACTAATAACTTGAGATTAAAGTAAAACATAACTGTTAATTCACCCCAGCAACATCTAAATAAATGATCTGCACAGCACAAAACTTTCCATTCACTATCACATAGTTAAACTAATTTTCCCTCAGTTACATAATAGTCTTCTTAAAAACAATCTCCCTTTACAAAAATTATTGTATTATCGATAGTTAAGCCTATTCATTCTTGCTATGAGGTTAATTTCACTTATATACTGGTATAGCCCACACAAGTTTAATTGGCACACACTTATGAATGAGACAAAATAAATCATTCTTCTTTTTAAAAATTATGGGATCAATTGTTTTCAAAGAATAATCCCAGATACTTAATTATTAAAGCAATTTTCTACCATCAGCAGTCAAGCTTTTAAAATGATCCTAAGTGTTCATCCAAAGATTATCAATGCTAAATGAACAGTAAACTTGTAGATTTCTATTTTATAATATGATATATAATTTGTACGGAAGAGTTTTAAAAAAGATAACCTACATACACACAGTTAATTTTCCTCAAAGAAGTTCTTAGAAATACAATATAAACATTTAAGAACCATAACAGAGTCCATTGTGGTTCAAACTTCAAAGATTTTCTTGAAACCCATTACAAATTCTGGCTCAAGACCATATTCCAAAGTGACACCAGCACAAGATTTGATTGTAAGATTCTACCTCTTAAAAAAAGAGCACACTTGGTTATACATGGCTTTTAACCTTGAGCTACAGTTATGCTACAAATCCCCCCACCCTCCCAGTTGAAAGTCAGTCATGTGGAGATGTGTACATTCTCTGAGCACGGCTTAGAGTCCTTGGTTTCCCAGCTCTGATGGAGATCTCGAAGGCGTTCAGAAGTCCGTGTGCTTACATTCAGGGCAGGATGAACTGTACAAATTCCACTTTCCTCCATTAGAGACAGGCCACAAATTCCAAAGTATGCATGCAAAGCATCTGAAAATGAGGCACTTCTGTCACAATAGGCATTCTAATTTGTACATGCTACAAAATACTTTAGCTACATATCTATCAGCCCATCACTACATTAAAATTCTATAGTTTTCGAAACTAAAAAAATTCTAGTTTTATATTTGCTTTCACAAAGTCTCAGATACCACTGTTTAAAAACCCAGATAATCATGCTGAAACCAGTTTGGCTCAGTGGTAGAGCGTCGGTCTGCGGACTGAAGGTTCCCGGGTTCGATTCCGGTCAAGGGCATGTACATTGGTTGCGGACACATCCCCTGTGGGGGGGTGTGCAAGAGGCAGCTGGTCAATGTTTCTCTTTCATTGATGTTTCTAGCTATCTCTCTCCCTTCCTCTCTGTAAAAAATCAATAAAATATATTTAAAAAAAACCCCAGATAATCAAAATCTGATATTTTATTCAAGACAATAATATTAAAGGAAAAACAGTTCCTAGCTGAAGAAGTGACTAAAAGGACAAAAAGAAAAAGTAACAGTAATATAGTAGTAAAAGTCTTCAACTGTAGTGGGGTATCCCCTTTACTTACTCTAGAATATGGAAACAAGGGGCTTTAACTCTATTATCATAATAGGAAAATATTTTCTTAAAAATGAAAATAAACAAATCCCTGAACCTAGATAGTAGCACCCTTCTCTAAGTTTTATTTCTGATGGCACCCAAGCTACATATTATCCTAACGGTGTGTTAAAAGAAAGGCACTCAAGCAAAATAACCCATTCTGGAATGTTGTACCATATTTAATTTCCCAAAATAGGGTACTGTCAGTCATTCTAAAAATATCTGACCTGAAAATAAAAGCAAGCTTACATTCTATTTGGCTATAATAATGTGAGATTTCATACCATAACAATTCTTCTACACTGTTCTCACTAGTTTCCATCTTTCAGGGGTCAGCAACCCTCTTCCATTAAAGTGGCCACTGAAGTCACATGGCTGTTGCCTGCCTGAGAGCCTTATATGGACTTCTAAAGAGCTCAGAGCTCTGTAGTTATGGGAACACTACAAAAAATAGATTTTGTAGCAGTATTTTTTTTTTCTATTTTTGATTTGGCCATCATTTATGACCTCAAGAGCTATTAAAGTTCAAAACATCTTACCAAGTCAAACTTTGTCAAAGAATTAAAGAATAAGTTTTACTTAGACAAGAATGGTAAATAGTTGTGCTTACTCAATCTTATTTGTGAAAAAGTTATTTCACTAATGGAGGCCCATGTTAATGCCCTTCTTTGTCATTTTACAGAATGCTTAGGTTTCTTCTGGATCATTTCCCTCTAATTTTCAAACCATAAATTTTATTTTTGTATATTCCCTGTACTATTATATGTTAGAATGTACTTTGAAGTTATTCTAAAATTACTAAAGACACAGAGCAACATTAACTTTTACTATCTTGATAATAGAAAACTTTCCCAGAAAAGAATGCAATAGAAAGAGAAATAAAATACATACAGAATAACCTTGCTTAGGGACTGAAGGGACCTGGGTTTGATTCCGGTCAAGGGCATGTACCTTGGTTGCGGGCACATCCCCAGTAGGGGGTGTGCAAGAGGCAGCTCATCGATGACTCTCTCTCATCGATGTTTCTAACTCTCTCTCTCCCTTCTTCTCTGTACAAAATCAATAAAATATATTAAAAAAAAAATAAAAAAAGAATAACCTAAAATTGGGCCTTATACTTCACAGTTAATGTACAAACATGTTTTTTTCAAAAGTATTCTTGTAAAATCCAGTGAACCAGCAGTTAATTGTTTCAAGCCTCAAATAGTAAAAAAAAAAAATCTTAGTATTCAAGCATTTAGAATACATTATAAATACATTACTTTCTCGTTTCCACTATAAATGTACATAAAATCTCCTTGTCAAATTGGTTATTAGATTTATCAGAACCAATAATAAGGTAATTTTAAAGACCTGTTAAAATAATTTTTATAAAAGCTCTAGGAAAAAGTCTCAGGTCTATCCACATAAGTTCAATTTATCATATGAAGACTTTCTATGCTCTGTAGTGTACAGGCTCTGAAGATAATGTCACATATCCATAAAAAGTATTACATTGAAGTATTCACATAAATGTTGCAGAAATTGATCTTGCAAGAAAAAAGCTTCAAGTATTTTCTCTTTAAAAAGCTATTATAAATACTCAAATGTATTCCAAGTATGTTTATACAAGAAATGCTTTCTAAGAGATTATCATTTCCCTATTTCCATTTTGTTAAAATAGTACCATGCACTAGCTGAAAAAAATGGCATCAAGACCAAAATAACTGTTTTCTTGAGTCCCTTTTCTAACATATCTATGGCTATGTGTTATAATACCAAAACTTTAAAAATGTCATTTTGCTTTAGAAATTAAAAGCATTGTACATTTTTTTTCTAAAGGGGAATATTTTGCATGAAAATACAAGTATGGATGTTAAGGATATATTCCTGCTCATTTCAGGTACAAAAATATAATTTTATGAACCCCCATTTATATTTTGATTCAAGTACATGTTCGACAATAGCAGTGCAATAATAAGGAGATGAACTGAAGAGGCTCTAGGCTAACAATAAAAACCATGATTCTATTACAATGCTGCAAAACAATTATTTTTTGAACCTAGTTTCATATATTTATAGCTAATAATTTTTCAACTTGCTTATTAAAAATGTCAGTGTTCTGAATTATTTTTAACGAACTCTCAAAATGATTTTTTTTTGAAGTTGTGAATAGGTTCATTTTGCTGGAGGTATTGATAATAACATAAGTGGGGTGGGGGGAAGGGAGCAGGCAGTAGCCTGAAAAATGACGCTAGAGGTGGAAGAGGAGCCAAAATCCCAGGAGGGCCTGTGTGCCATGCCAAAGAACTGAATGGGTGCTAAGAAAGTCTTTGAATTTTAAAAATAGATTTAATAGAAGAGTTTAGAGTAGAGGTTTTCAATTTTTTTTTTTTTTTTTTTTTTTTTTTTTTACATCAGAGATCCTTTTGAGAGATTGAAAAAAGTTTTGGCCCCCTCTCCTCTTCTTTAAACACACGTACATACACACATACAAGGTGTCAATATGAGGGGGACAAGGCTAGAGGCTTTATTGATTTTTTACAGACAGGAAGGGAGAGGGATAGAGAGTTAGAAACATCAATAAGAGAGAAACACCGAGCAGCTGCTTCCTGCACACCCCTTAGAGGGGATGTGCCCAAAACCAATGTACATGACCTTGACTAGAATTGAACCTGAGACCCTTTAGTCTGAAGGCTGACGCACTAACCACTGAGCAAAACCAGTTAGGGCTGAGCAAGCAGTTTCATAGTAAGAGTACACAGCTTATAATAAGGTTTGGAAAATATCAGAAATATCAACATATTCTGAAGAAATATTATTAATACAGTTTTCAATGTTTTGAAAAAACCCACTTAAAAGTACTTATAAAATTCAAGAATCTTTTACTCTTCACATCTATATCATTCCTGAGTTTGGAAAGCATAGATTATCATACTGTCTGAATTTATTGGTTCCTGAGTTTTAAATATATTTTATTGATTTTTTTATAGTGAGGAAGGGAGAGAGAGAGTTAGAAACATCCATGAGAGAGAAACATCATCGATCAGCTGCCTCCTGCACACCTCCCACTGGGGATGTGCCTGCAACCAAGGTACATGCCCTTGACTGGAATCAAACCTGGGACCTTTCAGTCCGCAGGCTGACACTCTATCCACTGAGACAAACTGGGTAGGACCTGAGTTTTAGATAGTGAGAGTTAACACAGCAAAGTATTCATCTAAAGAAGAAACTTAATCTGCCAAAATTTAGGTAAGAAAAGTCTGGTCAGTGAGGAAACCTTATTCAGGATTTGAGATTTTTGATTTAATAATTTTTGAATGGGTTCCTCCTTTTGGATTAAGAATAATTTATTCTATGTAGCTCAACTGATAGCTAATAACCTAAAGATTACAAATGATTCTGTAATTTGGACAGGGCTTATTTAGACTACCTGCCTTACTGCCTCAAATGAAATAAAACATTGCTAAGTAAAATATTTAGAAAATAATGTAAACTATACCAATATATCTTGATAATCAAACCCTTCCTTTATACCCCCAAGATCCTAAATCAACCCTAAACTTAAAACAATTTCCTTACCTTTTAAAAAACATATTATTTAATGTAAGTTTACAACTAAAGCTAAATTTCCTATATGTCCTTTCTGACAAAGATGCTTGAAGGTTTAGTCAAGAAATAAACAAAAGGTAAGTTCTGGATTCATACAAAAAAATAAATTACCTGGGTGACTATCTGGCCACTTGGCAAATCCCCCTACAAGTCGATCTTGAGTTGATAAGATGTAATTTCTATTTTTCTCAAAGTTAGTGTATTGGAAAATTTTCAGAAGCTGCAACGACAAGAGAAATATAAATTTAAAACTTTCATATTGATCATTTTCAGATCTATATAATTTAAATACGCTTTTCTCAAGCGAAGGCTCTCAGAGCAAACCTCTGCGGGGCTTGAGCACTTAAAAGCAGTCAACCACATTATCTTTTATATTATCGTACCAAATGTACTCTCCTGATTTCTTGACCCATTCAATGTTTCCTTCTTTTGAACCATGCCCACTTAACCTCTTTGCATCACAACTTCCCAAATCTGTTCAATTTCTTTAGTCATTTAAAAAAGTACAATTTTATCTACCATATTTTAACTCTTTTTAAAAAATATATATATTTTATTGATTTTCCACAGAGAAGAAGGGAGAGAGATAGAGAGCTAGAAATGTCGATGAGAGAGAAACATCGACCAGCTGTCTCCTGCACACCCTCCACCGGGGATGTGCCTGCAACCAATGTACATGCCCTTGACTGGAATTGAACCCGGGACCCTTCAGTCTGCAGGCCGATGCTCTATCCATTGAGCCAAACCGATTTCGGCCATATTTTAACTCTTATGATAAGCTTTAAAGCTACTATTAAGTTACAAACAGTAGTAACTAGAACTAAAAGTATTTCATAAAAGAGTAACAAAACTTTATTAACCAAATGCTAGAGACAGTTTTGAGAATAGTAAAAATATTATAGACCTTTAATTAGGAAAAATAAAATATAATTGAGACAAATATAATTTTTGCCTAAAAATTATGTAGTTTAAAGATTTATAACATTTATTATTTATTCTCTCTCTTAAGTTGCCATTAAGTAGAAAAGATAAATCAGCCGAAATCGGTTTGGCTCAGTGGATAGAACATTGTTCTGTGGACTGAAGGGTCCCGGGTTCAATTCCAGTTGGGGGCATGTGCCTTGGTTGCAGCACATCCCTGGTGATGGGTGTGCGGGGGGCAGCTGATCGATGTTTCTCTCTCTCATCAATGTTTCTAACTCTCTATCCTTCTCTTCCTCTCTGTAAAAAATCAATAAAATATTAAAAAAAAAAAAAAAAAGGATAAATCAAAGTGCAATAAGAAGGGGGTGGTAAGCAATAGGCAAGAGAGTTTAAAACATTTCTGTAAGACACAAAGCAACTGAAAATATATTAATGACTCACGAGGGGCATGAAGACTATAAGTGATCAATGAAAAAACATTATTTCTCAAAAATAAAAAACTTATTCATTTTGATTTAATTAATCTTTATATAATAGAGGTAATATGCAAATTGACCAATACACCCTCATACAAGATGGCCACCTCCATGTGGTCACAAGATGGCTACCACAAGATGGTTGGCAGGGGAGGGCACTTGTGTGTGATCAGGCCAGCAGGGGAGAGCAGTTGTGGGTGACAAGGCCTGCAGGGGAGGGCAGTTGGGGGTGACCAGGCCTGTAGGGGAGGGAGGGCAGTTGGGGGGGGGACCAGGACTGCAGGGAAAGGCAGTTGGGGGTAACCAAGCCTGCAAGGGAGGGCAGATAGGGGGGACCAAGCCAGCAGGGGAGAGCAGTTGAGGGTAATCAGCCGGCAGGGGAGCAGTTAGGCATCAATCAGGCTGGCAGGGGAGTGGTTAAGGGGTGATTAGGCTGGCAGGCAGAAGCGGTTAGGGGCAATTAGGCAGGTGAGTGGTTGGGAGCCAGCAGTCCTGGATTGTGAGAGGTACATCCCCCGAGGGGTCCCAGAATGGAGAGGATGCAGGCTGGGCTGAGGGACTCCCCCCGACCCCACTACATGGATTTCATGAACCAGGCCTCTAGTAGAATATAAGGAAAAACTGTTTAGGATCCTGATGCTGGAAACATTTCTGTCAAATTATTCCCTCTACTGTTGAATATGTTGAAATCTTCTATAATTAAAAAAAAAAAATTAAAAATGGTACAGGAGAGAGGTAGGGGGCTCTTGCCTTCATTTTAAATCATTCTGTTTTTTGAATTTACTTCAACCATATGTATAAATTTTTGTCTAAGAGAAAAAAATTAGGAAATTATATAAAGATGAATATAGACTTTTGTTAGATTCTAGAATATCATAACGAGGTGAATTTAAAAAAGAGAAAACCTGTAGGTAGTAGCTAATTACCTTATGGAATTAGGTGCATCAAAATGTTGTACAGATGGGGGAAACGTACCAATCAATACACTGCAGATGGTTTATATAAATAAACAAAAATAGAAAACCTTAAATAATTTTTAAAGAAATGACCTGGCTTATCTTTTAGGATTAACATCTTCCTATAAATTCTTTACTGGTGTGTTTAAACAGATCCATGCCTTAGATGGACTACCGATCAGTTCCAGTAATAAGTTTTTTTATACTTATTTTTTTACCTGGGCCACTTGAATTTTGTAAAAATGGAAATTTTCAGGTAATACAACAGATAACTGAATTCTATAAAAAAACAATATATTATAGACACTGGCTTTGCCAGAGAAACAGAAAAAACTCAGTAGCCTAAACCTAACAATATTTAATGAATAGTACAAAGACCAAACCCTCTAAACACAGCTAATATTAACAGAGAGTATAGGTTTTTCATTGTTACTGTTTCTCTTACCTTTAGGGTTGCTCCCACCCAAAAAGAATAACAGGTGTCTACAGGCTTATTCGGTCTTCCATGATAACCATTTTGTTGCCTCATTATACACCATCTCTTTATCCTGTTCAATTCTTTTTCTGAAAAAACTTCTTCTAGTTTACCCATGAGACACAGTGATGCAATGCCACAAAAAGTTGAGCCTCCTGTTAATCAAAACCACATAGTTCTTTATACTTCAAAACAGATGCCTAGGAAAATAATATAAAATGGCCGGAGGAAAAAGTGGTTAAATAATTCTAGAAAATAGTGAAATAAAAGTCATTAAAATTCAAGACAACTATAATTTTAAATAGCCATTAAACACTGAAGCCTTCAATATTATTTGATGAAATAAAATTTAAAATAATTTGAAGCTATAAGAAATATTTTACTTATGAAAACAAGTAAGTCTTAGGGAGACTAAAACACCTGTTCAAAGTTACATGGTTAATGGCAGAGCTGAAAAAAAAAATATAGGACAGACTACTATTCCCTGTCTAGGACTCTACCAGTTGAATCTGATTTTAATTTCCTTAAAGATAGTGTATTACTTATGAATTGAGGTTTTATCTGCCTCAAGCTACATCTAATTTTAACATATAATATAAACAAGCTAGAAGCTGGCATGCAGATGTAATACCTAGTCGGCTTAAGAAATTTAAGGAAGAAAGTTTGAGCAAGGGAGTGTGTGTGTGGGCAGGGGAGAAGAAAGCTGTAGCTGGAAGTAGATGCACAATGAGTATCCATACTCACTACAGTAGACTGAATAGTGCCCCTCAATGATATCCAGGTCTTAATCCCTGGAACGTGTGCATGTTACTTTATATGGCAAAAGGACTTTGCAAATGTGATTAAGTTCAGGATTTTGATATGGGGAGACTATTCTGGGTCACCTAGTTGGGCTCTAAATATACCCATTCAGGAGCAGAGGGAGATTAAACTCCAGGAAGAGGAGGCAATGTGACTATGGAAGCAGAGACTGGAGAGATGTGGCAATAAATCAAGGAATGTCGGCGGCCACCAGAAGCTGGGAGATGTAAGAACAGGTTCTCCCCTGGGGCCTCCAGAAGTAACTAGCCCTGGTGACATCTTGATTTTAGTCACATAAAATGAAGTTCAGACTTCTGGCTTCCAGAACTGTAAGAGAATACATTTTTGTTGTCTCCCACCCCCCCTAAGTTTGCAGTAAAATGTTACAGCTGCAATAGGAAACCAATATGCTCATAAAAAATTTTCAGAAAATGAAAAATCAGTATTATTTCATGAAGAAAAGAAACAATACTTTCCATGGGCACTATTTGTCAACTCCAAACAATTTAAAAATCCTTGTATTTCCAATTTATTACAACTTTAGTTAGTAATTTTTATTTCGGCTATTTAAATAGATAATAGTTCCTAATATTCCTCATCCTGTAATTTCCCTTTTGGTGTTATAAATCTTGGATGTGTTCTCTGGGAAAGTGAGCATTCCCTGTAGAAAACTTAAGGCATCTATTGCATCAAATGGATTACTGTAAGTAAAAACTATTTAATCTTTAGAATTTTCCCCAATTAGCTGGGTGATCTATGTTAGTCCTAAGTGAATTAAAACAGAAAAGTTAAAATTATCATAATCTTTTAGAATTATTTCTAGGAAGCAACTCTCAATCTTATTTCCTCTTCAATAAACCACTACTTTCAATTTTTCTTTCATAAAAATCTGGCAATGACTTTGGGTATTATAATATCACTAGTGGCCTAGTGCATGCACATTGAAAGGAACTTAATTAGAAGAAATATTTTAATACTGCTATTCATCCTTCCTCTATAATACAAATGTCAACCAAATTCATGATGGACGATGACATATCAAAACATGTGTGTGTGACTGACGCCAGTGAGAGCTTTAGATGTATCACACATGTGAAAGTCAACTTAGCCTTTTATAGATATAGAATAAACTTGCTTAATTAGAACTGCTTTCTGACATAGCTAAACTTTTTCCAGCCCATTGAAGCACACCAACTTCTCTTTCAGGTAATAGTCAGCAACACAGCAGTAAATAGCAACAAGAAGTAGATTGTTATTGTAGATCATGCAAGGAGATCAAAGGGTAAAATATTTAACTGCAACAGTGTTGGACTATATTTTGCGCAGTGAGAAACCCTGAAATGATTTTCAAGGTCCACCATTACTTACTTTTTTTCAGTCGGGTCAAGTTTCTAAACTTTCTAAATCTCCGTTTTCCAGCTAGTGAAAAGAAAATAGGATTCTACCAAGTCTCCTATCTACTTACTCCAGGACTTGTGAGGATCAAATGAGAGGAGGCATAGAAAAACGCTTCACAGACATTTGGTTAAAGTGTAAAATACTTGCACCTGGCTATAAAGCAAGTCATGTTCCTGGGCTGAAGAAACTCCAAGGAGGCTAGTCGGTAGGGAGACTAGCCAGGTGTTGCTACATGATGTCATTACCTGGCACCCCCAGTGACAGTTTCTGGGTTGGGCTGGGCTGTGGACCACATTTTGCGCCTGGGGTCGTGGCAGTGTTGGTTGCAATTTGGTGGGCTGCTGCTCTGGGGTGATGGTGAGGCCTGTGTCCCACTTGGGGAAGCCGAGTGTTGCTCAGGACTGTGCTGTTTCTCTGTAAATGGCCAGTGTGTGCCACAGCAGCTCCTGGGTTGAGTGTCTGCCCCCTGGTGGTCAGTGCATGTCATAGTGACCAGTTGGACGGGCGGAGGGACACATACATATTAGCCATTTATATATATATATATATATATATATATATATATATATATATATATAGATATAGATTAAACATACTAATAACATATTGTCCTTAAAACTATGGAAAGATAAAATGAAAAATTTAACTGCTACTATACATATTACTCTGTTAGGACTCTTAAAGCAAAACAGCACAATTCAAAGTGAAAATAATCTTTACTTTGTTCAAATCACCAGATTTTGTGAAAATATTAATTTCTGAAGTTTGGGTTTTGAGTAGTCAAATACAGTAATTACAAACTTCATACTTTAAGCTAAAATTCATTTACCAAAATTTACCCCTAAGAGATTCTTGTTTCACAAAATTCAAAAAAAAAAAAAAAATTAGTTCTAAAAACCTGGATTTAGAGCCTTATGTTAGACATAAAAACAAAAAGAAACACAATAACAACTTGACAATAAGTAAATTAAGAAATATTATAAAATAGCAGGTACAGAACTCAAATAGAATTATCTTCTGAGGGTTAAATAGTATTAGATTAGATCAATGATCCCCACTAGCTTAAAAAAAGCAAACCCAAAAATGACTGAATCTGTGCTATGTTCTTCTGCTAAGAATGTACTATTACTTTACATTATTATATTAAAGTACAATACCATTCTCATGGTAATCTGAATTCCACAAGAAAAGGTTAAATTATGTTTATTATGCCTTGGATGAAGGTAGGTATGTAAATAACCTTCCTTATCAGAGGATATAAAAGTAAAAATACTGAGGCACATACAAGAGAAATATTCCCACCTGAAATTGCTGAAAGTTTGCCACCTAAGCGATATGTTTCCGTTGTATAAATAATTAATGAATGCACAATATCTCAATCATAAAAGAATCACAAGAAGGGACGATAGAGATTCTCTTTTAACAATCTTCTTCTTAAGTTCTTCCAGGTGCAGGCTAAAGGTGTTCCTGACTCTAGTTTTTATGCTATGATTTACCTATATTTTAAAAGTGTTACACAGTTATAAGTTAACTTATTGTAACCATAAGGTTTTACAGCTCAATCTTAAACATTCACTTAGTATCTATTTGTATATACCAAATTATCTGAAAGAATCTATGTACTCTGAAGTGTATAATTTAAGATGGTCAACTAACATATAGCTAGATATAAAGTTGAAAGCTTAATAGTTACATAAAGAAGTACACCATTTTACACTTCAATATCACATGAAAAGGGTTAAGTGAGGTAAATTCAAAGAAGTTGAATGCTTAGATGAAATTAAGCCAAAGAGAGTTTACTACTTCTCTTTTGGATTAAGAGTAGAGATATTTAAAAAAAAAATCATGGAATCAAATTAATTTGTCTGAATTTTTACGTTTATATTATTCATCCTGAGGGAGAAAAAAATATTTTTAATCCTAGCAAATCATGTAAATCCAATTTGTTCCAAACATCAGCACTGCGCTATTATAAGAGAATCACTAAGGTAAATAGAATCATTACATGATCATGGTCTAGAAGGGTATATATAACGTGCCTGTTTAGCTTTCATGACAAATGGGCTCCAGGCTAAGCAGTAACTGGAGAAGAGCAGATGAATTAATAAAACAAAACAACAGTGTATTAAATAACATTTAGATTGCAGAATTAGGAAGAAAAGTCCATGAAGAAACTTGATTATTAAGTACATAGCACAAATTCAGCCTTTTTTGCTTTAAGATGCAGAGTGAAATACTGGGTAAGCTATTCATTAAGTACTTACTGAACAACTACGATATACAAGCACATATGGAGTAAGACATGAATAAGACATGGTCAGCTTACAATTTAGCAGAGAAGATCAAATAAACTGAGGTAAGTACCATGAAAATGGTATGAACAAAGTATTATAGAAATATAGACAAGGGAGAAACTGCTTGGTAAGTACCATGAAAATGGTATGAACCAAGTATTATAGAAATATAGACAAGGGAGAAACTGCAAGGGTTTCAATATATATATTGATTTTTTTTACAGAGAGGAAGGGAGAGGGATAGAGAGCTAGAAACGTCGATGAGAATCATTGACCAGCTGCCTCTTGCACATCCCCGGTGGGGGATGTGCCCGCAACCAAGGTACACGCCCTTGACCAGAATCGAACCTGGGACCCTGCAGTCCACAGACTGAGGCTCTACCACTGAGCCAAACGGGTTTCGGCCAATAAAATATATTTTTTAAAAATTATTTTCCTTTTAGTTAATAGGCCAAACATCATAAACTGGTAACTTATGTGGGACAACTGGCATGACTAGCAAATTATAAAAAAAAATATGACAGAACAGATTACACACTCAACATTCTGGATTTCTGGCTTCTCTAGTAGTAGCAGTTCCACATTCCTGAATAACAAGGACAGGCTTGGGAGGAAGGAGAGGAGAGGAATGGTTTAAACATGTGCAGTTTGGGATGCTGAAGAGACAGAATGTGGGTATGCAACTCAGAAGCAATAGCACATGTTTTGAAAAATAGTTTGGATGCCATCAACACAGGGATGATTGATAAACAACCATCTGTTGGTTCATTCAACTGTGTGCCACACGCTATAGGTGTGAGGATACAATAGTGAATAGTACAGGCCCAAATCTCTGTTCTCATAAGGCTTACATTCATTATGTGAGAAGACAGTGAATAAATAGCTAAAATATAAAAAAGTGACATGCAGAAAAAGCCAGAAAGGGGCATAGGGTATGAATATGGGGTTGATATGTGATTTTAAATAGGCGGTATGTTGGTAGTTTGCAATTTTACCGTAAACAGGGGGCTTATCCAAAAATATCATATAAACACAAACATAAAGGATGTGAAACAAAGCCCGGTGTATGCTAAGGCTGGGGTTGGAGGAATCTGTAAAAAACACAGCATGTACAAGAACCCTGAGATTCAGAAAGAAGAAAGTTGGGCTAAGGTAAAGAGATCAGAGGAAGAAACAAAATGGTGAAGGAGCCAGAAACAACTTGTCAGGAAGTGGGACAAAAAGAATGTGATATTTCAAGAAAGAAGGGGGGGAGGTTAATAGCTTCAAATGCTTCAATAAAGATAAGGAACGAGAGACACTAGATTTGAAATAAAGAACACTCATAATTAAAAGAGAAACTTCCTAAGTTGCTGAAGCCTCATACAGAAAATTAAGGAACAAGCCATTTTTGTAGAAAGGCAAATAGTATATTTGGACCACTGTTCTAAAAAGATTAACAACAGAAAGAGCCCCCTCTCCCTCTCAGGAGCACACCCACGCCTTTCTGTTTCCCCACTTTCCCCAGGCGTTACCTTTGCCTTTCTCTCTAAGCGCCAAGGGCTTGTCTTCTACCTCTGTAACTTGTTTCCGGAGCCTACGCAGCCCAGCTGTCTCACTTCTACACCTGTCTTTTTCTAAATAAACTTTCCCTTATAATTTGAAAACAAAAAACAAAAAAACAATAGAATGGAGAAAAAGAGAGTATACAATGACTGCAGGGAGACCAAACTGCAGGACTACTATTTAGGAAGAGGTTTTACTTACCTCTATAGATAGTGATAAAATGAGACCGGGATATACTTCTCATCTTATACCAAAGACCTCTAGAATAGTACTTTCCATCCTATCTAACTTCAGAGCACAAAAGGAACAAGAGTACTTGATATCTGTAGGACATCCTGAGGTGCCCTGAGGAGTGTGCTCCTGGCCAAAGGCCATCTTACCAGGCGCGCTAGACACCCAGCTCTTCTTGGCTGCCACAAAGGCTAACAGCAATAACGTGGCACACCACGACCCATTTATGGTGCTGCAGCACTCTGATTAGGAAGCTCTCCTCTAGGGCTTTCGGCCTCAAACCTACCATGGTGAAATTGGAGCTAGAAGAAGAATGTAAACTTTTTGGCATGAGTCACAGTCCATCACTGATGATCTTGCTGGGCACAATCCTAAGCAAATCGTACTGTCTCAAAATCACTACTTGTGTGACTCAGCAAGATTTTTTTCCTGACAGAACCCCTCTCTGTTTCACACCCCACAGAACGTAATCCCAATTTCTTGGGACCAGTGTCTGTCCCACCGGTCTCCTATACTGGTAAGGTGTCTCCTCAGCTGGAGTGCCCATTAACAACCTTTATAATAATCGTTACCAGACCGTATCTTTTTAGGAATTTCTTATAAATGCCAGATTTCCTATTTGGGCTACAAGTACATCCTTCCTTTCCAAATAGTGAAGACCAGTGACATAATTGCTACTGCCAGCTTGCCCCACTGCCAATCTCATATAGACTCAGGCACACACAAGAATTATGGTGTCCTAATTACAATGTGGCCTCAGAGGAAAATCCAAGATAATCTTCTATATAGTTCTAGTGACACGCACTACAAATGCCTACATCAAAAGAGGGAGTAAAGATGTGAGAGAGTGAAAAAGATACCTGATAGAACAAAGTTCCAGGGAAAGTACAAGGATATGGGATCAAGGAATATATTTTAAAAAAATATTTAAATTTATAGTTTACAACCCACTTTACCTCCTATAGTCTTAATAACAAAATAAAAAGACAATTATTTCTACTTTGTTGATGAGGAAGCCCTCAAAGGTACTAATTGAGGAGCCAAGATCATATAGCTGGGGTCAGGGATGAGACCTATTCTTTCCACTGTATCACGATATTTTTATACTGCTGGTAGAGGACGGACACAACAGGTGAGTACAAAAATAACTGCCGTGATGAAGAGGAAGCAAGGACTCTGCTTGATTTAGCCTCTTTCTTTTTTAAAAAGGAGCATGGAAACTTGTTTACTTCTACGTGGAAATACTCAATCTGAAAGAGTTGACTACTGATGTGCTGACAAACTAAGTGACTATTATCACTCTATTCTGGTTCTGCCAAAAGTAGGAAAAAATGTGGAAGGAGAAATTTTATAGTGTATATATTGAACATGTGTTATGAAGCAAAATATTTTATGACTATGACTTAAGATAATTATATTAAAGAAAGTATAAATAAAAATCTTTCATTTCTTCACAAATTTACTGATTCATGTTTAATAGCCTGCGTCTACTCTTCTAGTGTTATGCCAAAGAAGAAAACTTGCTATTTTCTAAAACAATATCTTAAAAAATCACCCCAAAATATTTTCAGGAAAATTCTGATCTGAGTAATTTATAAATGATTACTGACCTAGAAGAGGTTCAAACTGGCACAACAGTGTCAAAAGAAAGAAGGAGGAAGGAAGATGGTCAGGCTGCACCAAGGGCTGAGACAAACTTCTGAGGTCCTCCATGTTGAAGATACCATGATGTTATTTGAAGAAACAAAAGAAAATACATGTTCATTTATTTTAAGATGCCTTACCATGAGATTCAAGTCCAGCTCCCTGTGCCAACCCATTGTCATAGGACTGAAAAAGAAAAACATTATTTGGTTTAATAGGGAAATAATAATAAATAAGTTGTCATGCTATTTTTTCTCTCCTTTATATCTTCCAAAATATGCATTCTTTCCCACATAAAATAGATGTAGGCATTTTCAAGTACCTGCTTTTGTCTTACTAACACCACCAAATTACTAAATGCATATATTAGGCACATTCTGAAAATAGATTATTCAAAGATGGCACCCACATATACAATTTCTACTCAATAAAAACACCCAACTCTTATTCCTCTCCCACTTGCAAGAACACATGAGTTTAAGAAAAATGTAAATTTTATACTAAAAAATCATTATAAACACAAAATGAAACTATTTTGAGGCTTTTAGATAGCTTAGGATAATGGTGCCTGCCTAAAATTTAATCTCCCTATATCCCACAAAATCAAAACAATACAACTATATAAAAATAAAACGTTAGCAAAGCTAAGTTTTTGTTTTGAAGACATGTTCAAGCTTCAAATTACCTATCTATAGAAAAAGGATCCTCAAATCCTACAAGTCATCTCTCCCACTCCTGACACCTTTGCAGAGAGCAAGGGCAATCTGAAAAACAGTGAGGAAGTGAGAGGAGGGGAGATAGTGGCAAGTCTGAGACTGATCTAAACTCACTACCTGAAAGAGAGTCTACCCTAAGTGCAAAATACAGGCAGTCCTTGCTTTGCACAGTTCCAATATGCACAAACTCAAGATTCCATGGCTTAAATAACACAATATGACTAAAATTCCAGTAACCACTTATACATTAACTACAATCAATTGCAAAAAATACAAACTTGCTGCTAGTTCTTCAATCCACAAATCACTACATAAGTACTAGATATGCATGACAAGTGACCAATCATATTACCCTTTTCAAAATCTGTCAGTAATTTGCCATTGCACATGTTATTTAGTTCATGCAGATACAGCAAATGTCTCTTAGTGATAAACCCACATGACAATTTATAAAAAGAGATATGATAGTGTCCACCAAAGATGAAAGTGCAGTAAAGAAATGAAAAGCATAAACACTGGAAGTGAAACTGGGATCAAACATAGAGTTATAGAAGGAACAGCTGATCTTGGAAATGCTGACAGTGCTACAATCAGAACTAAGTAAAGGCAAAATATCTACAAGGATGAACAAAGCAGTTGTGTTGAAAAGAATGAAGATATTCTAGAAAAGTGATGCTGGCAAGAAACTTCAGATAGAAGGAACTCTGAGAGGTACACAGAGATTCATTGCATATAATGAAAATGCAAGAGATAAAATGTTGGAAGTTGATGCAAACTTATAAAGAAATATGATTATTTACCAAGACAGAAAAGATGCTTGCTCCACACTGTAACTTATATAAGAAGCAAAGCACTGTCCAAGCTATTCTTGATAAATTTTTTTTTACCAAGAAAACACTTAATTCTCAATCTTGCTAATATTTTAAATTACATTGTACTAAATAAATATTGGCTTACCATTAAAAATTCTCAATACATTTATAACTGACAGGAGAGTTTTTAATGTTTTGAAAAAAATTGCAAAGGTCACAGAACAATTGTAATTTCCCCCCAAAATTATTAAGACCACTTAGTATTACCGTGGCTTGTTGCTTAGTGGTTAGAACGTTAGCCTAGGGACTGAAGGGTAACAGGTTCGATTCCAGTCAAGGGCAGGTTTGATCTCTGGCCCCAGTTAGGGTGCATTCAGAAGTCAATCAATCCATGTCTCTCTCTCACATGGATGTTTCTCTCTTTCTCTCCCTTTTCTTTCCATTCTCATAATGCTAACAGCAAGACACCCATGAAAAACACATGGTGTCAAAACAAGCCAAAGGAAAATTGTTAGGGCAAAAAATGAAAAAGGATTACAAGTCAAATTTATAGAAAAGATTCCTTTATTAATTTTTGGTCTAGAATATGTTTGTATATTTTCAGAAAACAACTCCAAGACCATGTGGATTCCTGCAATAGAGAGGAATTGACAGAACTGCTACAGCCATAAGACAGAAGAAAAATAGTCCAGAGATGGAAGACGCTGATGATGCCTTGTCATATAGCAGTTAGCAGCTGTGCGTCACTGCAGGTTGCCCAGGACCAAACCAGAGAGGATCAGACCTGCATTACCACCTTTTGTCCACCATGCAGAACTGAAATATTATTGCTGACATGTACATATAAGGAACTGTTTGACAATGAAATTGGGACTCAAAAGAACTGTTGGCCCAGAAAGAAACTCACTACAGACTGATTCATTTGCCTCTCAGCATAACCATTATTGCTTGTTGACATACCCAAAAACCAATCTTATTACCCTTATTTCCAAATTCTTACTGGTTCAGTTGGTTGAGCGTCATCCCATGCACCAAGAGGTCCACAGTTTGATACCCAATCAGGCACATACCTGTGTTGTGAGCTCAATCACCAGTAGGAGGTGTGCAGGAGGCAGCCAACTAATGTTTCTCTCTCATCAATGTTTCTCTTTCCATCTCCCTTCTCTCTCTAATTAATGAAAACATATTTTAAAAAGTCAATTTAGCCACATAACTCACCATACTTCTTCTAATATAGTTGATGGCTTTTTTCATATCCATGCCAGACCAATTGTTGAGCATATAGCAAATACAGGACGCACAGTATACAAATCGCATGTCATTTTCACTGCCTTCAGGTACTGCACAAAAACTGGAAATAATAACAATATGATTTACTATTAACTATTTATTTATTTATTTGCACCTACTTCACATCTTTTTTTCACAGAAAAATCTATCACAAATAGGATTTAAAAATCTAAAAACAGATTTAAAAACCACATACTACTTGCGTTGTTCAATAAATTATAGGTCTATTAACTTGAATAATATAGAACTATCTCTAAATCATTACTCCAAAGTTCTGATTTCTGGGTAGTTTTACATACTACCACAGTTACTCCTCCCAGATGCCACCAGTCAGAGTAAGTTGCTCTCAGCGAGAAACAGCTATGGCACAGTATGGTAGAGAATTAATGGGCGGGTGGGGGTGAGAGGGGGAGGGAAAGTAGGAGGTAAAACATGGAAATTATTGGGTAAGAAATTCCCAAACCCAAGTTTTACCATGCAGAATTTCTTCTAACTACCGTATATATACTACTATATATATAATCAGTAATTAGTTTGTTGATTATGGTATTTTAACCTATTTAATTAGTTTTAAAGAGGTAGTCGCCTGTCTCTTATCCATTTATTTATAAATTAGAGGCCCAGTGCATGGATTCGTGACCAGTGGGGTCCCTTAGCCTGGCTTGTGAAGACAGGGCTGAAACCAGCTCTCCAACATCCCCCGAGGAGTCCTGGATTGAGAGAGGGTGGTTCTCAGGTGATGCACTCCGGAATCAGGCTCCCTTCTCTCTGGTTCCAGTGAGAACCACAGCTGCCAAGTCACCACAGCTTGGCAGCTCCTGCACTGAGTGTCTGCCCCCTGGTGGTCATTGCACATCATAGCTACCTGTCGGATGGTTGAACTGTTGCTTAGGCTTTTATATACGGGGTGTGTGTGTGTATAGATAGATAGATAGATAGATAAGGATAAGGTAGCAGTAAACAGACTATGCAAAAGTATTGAGAAATTAGCCACATGTACCTAATGAGATACATGTATACCGTATTTTCTGGCGTATAAGCCGACTTTTGAAATGAAAAAAAGTCAACCGAAAATTGGGGCAAAAGACCAAAATTGCACAAAAATTACTTGCAGATCTTGACGGCAAGTAAGTCTTTTCTTTGAAGTGGGGGGTAGTCTTATACAGCAAATATAGGCCTAAACCTATGTTTTAACTGTAAAATTAGGGGGTCGTCTTATACGCCGGAAAATACGGTTATTATAGTATTTCTAACTAATGTAAATTTGTTACTGTATATGTTGACATTAATTTTCCCCTCATCAAGAACAGCATTTTAAAAATACTGACAGGAAAATAGGGATAATAGTAGAAGGGACAGAGAAATAACAACATAGCAGAAATTGTTTGAAAAATCTTTTCTTTAGATAGTATAGCTACTGCTTTATCACTTCCTGGGGTTAAAAAAAATTCACCATAAAACTCTAGGAAAATTCTTCTTTAGTTAGATACACCACACGAACCAACAAATATTAATGAGCTCATTAACTTCTTTTCCTATCCTTTAAAAATGTCAAGAAAACTACCTACACTAGAATGTCCAATGCTTATCCCTTTCTCCTCCTATCACTATGTCTTAAGGAATAAAAGTACAGACTAATAATAATTTGTGATAAACTATACAGTTCTAGTATAGTATTACATTCATTTTTAGTTTCAAAATACTTTTCTTTAAAATAAAAATAAAAAAAGGTAAGAAAGAATGACCCATACCTTCCATCTTCCAGCTGAAGAGCTCTCAGGCCTGCTAAGCAAGCTTCTTTATTTACTCGGCTTAGGTCGTCTCCAAGAATAACTAAGCATGAAAGTCCAGTGTATGTCATTGCTATGTGGCCACTGTCATAAGGATGAGCTATTCCAGGATTCTGAATTAAAAATGAATATGTTAATTAGTAAAATGAAATAAAAACTTATTTTAGTAAACAATTTCAGTAAATAGGTAAAATTAAAATGTTATCTATACTAAGTTGTGTAGACATCTGACTGAGAAAAGCAAACATCAATTTTATATATATTCACAGTTTATTTATCTTTTGTTTTTAGATTCCCTGCTAAAAGCAATGGGCACACATGGTTGGAGACACCTTGGCAAATTCATGACTGTGACATAGGCAAGCTGGTGTATGGCCAAATGCAGAGAAAAAAAGTTGAAGTAGTGCCTCTTATCAAATCATGTCATCTTCTCCAAAATCACTGCTATTTCCCCCAAAAAATTTTGAAGCAGATGATAGCAAAACTAGTAGCATGCCATTTACCTTCAGATTGCAACTGGATATAAAACTTAGCATACTCAGTGTAGTCAGATATTAGCTTGTAATCGTTATATAAGCAAGAAAATAGTTTCTATTTTGTGAAACCTCTTTTGACAAAATTATGTTTGCTATGTTTCCTACTGTAGAAAGATATTGGTATTTTGTGCACAGATGAAACATCTATAAAGCCTGTGCTGGTTCTGCTTCTTTGAAGAAAAAAAGTTACTCACTTTGTTAGGACTCACTGCCTTCTACACCTGCATGTGCTGGTACCAAAGCCTACGGCTAGAATGTTGGAGATATTTTGCCTATTGCCATAAAGGTCAACAAATTCATCACAACTTAGGTCTTTAATTACTGCCTTAGTAAGAGTTTTTCTTTTATTACTAAAAAATGAGAACTAAATATAAAATCCTTCCCTACACATACAAGTTCATGAGCAAGTATCCAGCACTTGAGTGCTTTATTTTCATTTTCTCCAGGGAATCAATAATTAACACACACACAAAACAGTAAGAGAGACAACATTTTTCTGACAACAGGAATCTCAGTGTATATGTATTGTACATTCTTCCAGTAAGTACGGTGGGCATAGTTTTCCCTTAAAGAATTCAGTTCATGCCCTCATTGGTTTGCTTAGTGGACAGAGTGTCAGCCTGTGGACTGAAAAGTCCTGGGTTCAATTCTGGTCCAGGGCACATACCTGGGTTGTGGGCTCGATCCACAGTGTGGAACGTGCAGGAGGCAGATCAATGATTCCCTCTCATCACTGATGTCTCTATCTCTATCTCCCTCTCCCATCCTCTCTGAAATCAATAAAATATATTTATTTAAAAAAAATTTTTATTAATTTTTTACAGAGAGGTAGGGAGAGGGATAGAGAGTAAGAAACATCGATGAGAGAGAAACATCGATCAGCTGCCTCCTTCACACCCCCTACTGGGGATGTGTTCACAACCAAGGTACATGCCCTTGACCAGAATCGAACCTGGGACCCTTCAGTCCACGGGCCAATGCTCTATCCACTGAGCCAAACTGGTTAGGGCTCAATAAAATATATTTTAAAAAGAAAAAGAGTTCAGTTAATAATATACATTACTAGAGGCCCAGTGCACGAAATTTGTGCACTTGGGGGAGGGGAGTCTCTCAGCATGGCCTGTACCCTCTTGCAGTAGGGGAGCCCTCGGGGGATGTCTTGACTGACGGCTTATGCCTGTTTCTCCTGTGGGAACACACTAATCACCAGGGGCAGCTCCTGCATTGAGCATCTGCCCCCTGTTGGTCAGTGCATGTCATAGCGACTAGTTGTTTCACTTTTCAGTCGATTTGCATATTAGCCTTTTATCATATAGGACTAGAGGACCAGCCCACAAAATTCGTGTTCAGGTACAGTCGCTAGGCCTGGCCTGTGATTAGGGGCACCTTCCCCAGCAGCCGGCCCACCCCCCACCCTCACTCCCAGTTCCCCGTTTGCCATGGGCCAATTGGAGCCTGCCAGCTGGGGGGAGAGACTAAGAAGTCAGCAGTCGCCAGTCCCGCCCCCGCCATGAGTTGCCCTCTGTTCGTGGGGCAACTGGTGGGGTGGGGGCCTTGGCCTGGCACCGCGCCTGTTCCTTGCCACACACCCTCAGTTCCCCAATTGCCACTGGGTGATGGAAGCCTGCCGGCCCGGGGTGGGGGAAAGGGGAGGCACAAAGAGGTGGTCAGTATGCCTGGTTAAGCGGTCATTCTGGTTGTTCCACTGTTAGGGTCAATTTGCCCTTCTATTATTTAGGATTAGATAGTTTTCAGCCATATTGAAACTGGGAAGCTTGGTTCTTTCTGTATCCTGGCTTAGTATTCTTTCTCACTAAAATCTCCCCAAACAGAACTGACCTTTGATGGATTGAATGGAATACCCAAGTATGAAGAGCCTCGGAAACCACAGCGATTTAGATTTGACCCTAGAAAATAAAAACTTAGGCTTACTTGAAGTATCCTAAACCAGTTCAAAAAACAACAAAGAAAGGCTTGCCATTATATAAGGACCCATAAAATACACCTCCTTCAATCCAGTAATGATACATCCTGTGCACAGAAACACTTGCTGCAGTATTATAACGGTGAAAATTTAGAATAAATACACTAAAAAGTTTTACATTTTACTGGTTTATAACTTTTTGTTTTTTAAAAAAACTCCAAATGTAGTGTCTTTACAATGCTTGGCGTACTGTTGGCATTTATTATGAGTTTAATAGCAAAACTTTACGTTTTTCTCTGAGATATGACCCAATCATCAGGCAGGAGCTGATTTTGTAGCATAATAATTGCCTTTCAGGTGCAGACATACAAATACAGGGATTGTTTTTCCTTACAGTTGATAGCTAGACACTTATATCTCTATTAATACATCTATAATAACACATCTCTCTACATGCTCACACATAAGCTCACATATACACATTACATTCATGTACATATTCCCATTCTTGCTGCTGCTTCTTTCCATTTACCCAATTTCACTTTCTGAAGTAATCTGGATTTTTATGATATATTCCATGTAACAAAATAAACTAATTTGACTTTATGGCTCTACCATAATGTAGGATCACCAAATCAGTGGTTCTCCATTCTTACTGTGCATCACACAGGGATTGTTGGACAGGTCAAAGATAGCAGACTGTAAATACTCAAAGGAATACTATACTCCTATTAAAGTAATAATTAGGGGGAACTATGTAGCAACATGGAGAAATGTATAATGCCAAGAGAAAATATAAAACTATGTGCATTATGCTTATAATCAAACAAATGATATCAGCAAAGCCCAGAAGAGAATAAACAATATAAATACTGGATGATGGCAAGTTAGGATACTAGGTCCTTTTTTGTTACTAAGAAAATGTTAAGTATAAACTTCCCATTTATTCCAAATTTACAACTGAATGCATAGGGTATGGTTTAAAATTTTTTGGAGATTATTAAATGGCACCACCTAGTGTTCTTCTTCGGTAGTAGCAAAGCAAAATGAAAGAGGTCTGTCTGGCTGCCAAACATAATCAATTGTAGTTTCAAAAAAACAGATGCTTCTTAGGTCCAAACCCAAGCCCACATCAAAGCTCTGAGAATTGGGCCTGGACAATCATATAAAAAAAGAAAAAACAATACCATGATACTATTAATGGTGGTCATGCCACTTAAATATAATTCAAAAGTGATTTGGTCATTTTTCTAACTTTCTAATCCTTATTTTAAAAGTTAGGTTTTTGCACTAAGCAAAGAGAATTCAAGTGAAGAGTATGGCAATTTTTATGTAAAATTTGACACTTATATTTTATGACTATGGAAATAATTCTTCATAGGTCTTAAGAAACATGAGGTTTCCTAGTAAAAGGACACACCTTATACCAGTGATTCTCAACCTTTCTAATGCCGTGACCCTTTAATACAGCTCCTCACGTTGTGGTGACCCCCAACCATAAAATTATTTTTGTTGCTACTTCATAACTGTAATTTTGCTACTGTTAATTGTAATGTAAATATCTGTATTTTCTGATGGTCTTAAGCAACACTGCTAGCGGTTCTCAACCTGTTGAGAACTGCTGCTGTAAACACAGATATTTATATTAAGATTCACTAACAGTAGCAAAATTACAGTTATGAAGTAGCAACAAAAATAATTTTATGCCGAAACCGGTTTGGCTCAGTGGATAGAATGTTGGCCTGAGGACTGAAAGGTCCCAGGTTCGATTCCGGTCGGGGGCATGTGCTTTGGTTGCGGGCACATCCCCCAGTAGGGGGTGTGCAGGAGTGCTGGAAAACAAATCAGTTTAACTACAATAAAAAAGAGATGTTGACAGGAAGCCAGGAAGGCTAGTCAACAACCTTAGTAATTGCTCTAACCTTTAGTTGAGATATTAGCTGAAGCAGCCTCCACCTTGTTTGTCCCGTGAAAGTTTCTGTTATTTCCTGCCTAATGGCTACATGTAAATTTCTCTTTATGTTTTCCCCAAACCCTTAATAAAAGGGGATGGCAGGGCCAGAGCAGGGAGTAGTTCTCCCACTAGAGTTGGACTACCGCCTGGCCCCCCATATCACCAAGTTGAATTTCTTCAAGTCTCAAGTCCCTTCATTTGTGTGCGGCCCTTCTCCAGAACCTGAACCCTCAGTTGGAACTCTTTCCATGCGGGCCATGAAAGAGATTCCTATACAGGAGGCAGCTGATCGATGATTCTCTCTCACTGATGTTTCTGACTCTGTCCCTCTCTCTTCCTCTCTGTAAAAAATCAATAAAATATATTAAAATAAATATTAAAGGGTCACGGCATTAAAGGGTCACTGTATTAAAGGGTCACGGCATTAAAAAGGTTGAGAACCACTGCCTTATATAATCTTTTTCAGGATGTCAAGAGAGACACGGACAAGGCAAATGTAATATCCAATAGCTTAAAAATGTTCTTGTAAATATCTATTTTCTAAATTTCACAGATTAGTTTAGTAAAGACTTTCTTTCATAGAAATTAGAGATTTAATAGTGTTTCATCCACAAAATAGTAAATTGAGAATTTAGAATTACAGTTGGACCATGAAAAGATTTGTGGTTTGGCCCATCAGACGTTATGATTAAGGACAATTGGGACCATAAACTGACCTCTGTGGGATCTTTGCAACAAACCCTTGATCACAGTGCTTCCAAAAAGGTGCTCTACAATTTTTTAAACTTGCAACATACTCGAGTTAGCCACAGGAAATTATATTTACATTTTAAGCATATTATTTTAAAAAGGCAACAGTCTGCCCTGGCCATTTTGGCTCAGTGGATAGAGCATCGGCCCTCAGACTGAAGGGTCCTATGTTGAATTCCAGTCTAGGGCACATACCTCAGTTGCAGGCTCAATTACATTCAAAAGGCAATCAATTGAAGTGTATTTCTCACATCGATGTTTCTCTCTCTTTGCCTTTACCCATCCCTTCCATTCTCTTTAAAAATCAATGGGAAAATATCTTTGGGTGAGGATTAAAAAAAATGAAAGACAACAATCTGACTGAAAAACCTACCACGTTTCTCCGAAAATAAGACATCCCCTGAAAATAAGACCTAGCACAACTTTGGGAGAAAAAATTAATATAAGACACTGTCTTATTTTTGGGGAAACAGGGTACTAAAAAAAAATCATTAAGCAATTTACCTTTTAATATTAAACCACCTTATCTACATTCCCAAACACTTAATCGTAATATTTTATGAGATCTATTAATGGACATATATCAATAATGAAAATAACAAAGGACTAGAAAACAGAAAACTGTATTCTAATTTTGTCTCTAGCCTTAACTCCTTGGGTAAAGAGTCATTATATATATTGTAGACAAATGACTAATCTCTCTGGAGCTTAATATCCTCATTTGTAAAACGATGGACTATAATATCCCTTGCTCTATACTAGCTTAAAATTCTCTAGTTGTGCCCCTGACCAGAAAAAGCACACAATTCCCAGCCTGATCCCTTGTGTTTCCTAAATCCTTGCACAGGTTGATAAGAAGGGTCCCAAGGCTCCAATGGTCTGACCACACACAAATTACTAGGATACCACACAACTCTGGCGTTCAGTGGAAGGTCAGGGTTAATTCTGATTAATTATTCACAATGTACTTGAGTGCCATACATGGCGGAATATATATTTATACATACACTTCAAAGCAGCATTGGGACTCTGAGACAGAAGCCTGGATTTCATGCTGGCTCTACTACTTAACATGTATGTGGCCTCTGGGCAGGTCTCTCAACCATCTGTACACCATAAGCATCTATAGACGCAAGCAGTGAACCTTTTAAAATTAAATTCAAAATATCGTGGCAGTTAACTGGTTAATCACTCGCCTCTTATTTTCCTCTTTGGGACAGGCAGATCAAATTTAATAAAGTATTTGACAATTCTTTCAAATATTATAAAATATTAAATAGTGGACAGCATTATTTTTGCCAATATCAAATACAAATAATCAACAAACAGTCATCAATGTGGAATCTATTAACCTCAGACAACTTTATTCCCCAAAAGAGTAAATATTGGACTTGTTAAGTGTTATACTTGAACAGAATGGAGTATTGTATTCAATAAAAACATAGATGAATAAAATATATTAATAGTTTATGAATAAATATGACAATATGCTAATCCAACAACACATGTAATGCCAGGTACAACTAGACACATTAAAAATAAAATGCTAAAAACTCACTCACTGTCTTCTGTGGGAAGGACCTGCAGGGAGTAAATCCACTCTATTATATCATCTTTGTTCACCACATCTAAGGAATCCAACATATCCAGCCCAGAGAGCGCAAAAAATGCAATTGTCAACCTAAAAGAAAAAAAATGTAAGATTCCATCTTTACTAGGGAACTACTGAAGTCTTTCTGATTCAAACACATAATAAATTCATTCTAATTTTCCAATAATTTAAACAAAGCTCCCATCTTGCAAAAGTAAAAATAAACTCAATATATTCTCATAATTTAGTAATATCAATCAAACCTTTGCTTCAATTTTAAAAAAAGAGATATTTTGGGGTTAAAAACTAATCCCATTCATCTGAATTTATTGAAGCCAGTATATTAGTAACCTGAAGGCTAAAAGTAGACTTAAAAGAAGAATTTCCCACACTTGTTCAATACAAATAAAGTCAAAAGCCTAGAAAAAGATATAAAAATCTCAATTTTCACTAATTTGCCAAAAGTAATTATGCTGATCGCTGCTGCTTAAATCTTAAAAAATAGAATAAGTCAATTTTTATTCAAATTTGTTTACAAATAATGTGACCTCTTAGAAAAAACTTATAATGAATTTTGGAAAGAACACTTTAAAAAATACAAATGCATTTCAAATTCATTCTCCCAAAGAGATCATTCTTTGATGGAATGAAAAACTAAGACAGCACTCATTCCAAGATTGTGTACTAAATCAGAAACCTAAACCTTATGCTTTCATATAAAAACACTACGTTAGTGATTGCTTTTCACATAAAGAGCTTGTCATATATAATTCCTTGCACGCTGAGATGCATTTTACAATGCTGTTTGAGTATGGCCATTTCCATATTCTAGTAATTCCTATGATTAATATGGATAAATTAGTACTCCAAATTATCTATCTGGTCTAAAATCTTATAACAGAGCCACTTGAGTCATTCTGTAACCTTGTTAACAGAGATTCTAAAAGAGAATTAAGCCTTAATGCCTAAGGAACCTATGGTATATAGACTTCTTCCCTATGTCTCTAGAATGGTATTATCTATTAGAATGATATTACCAACATGAGAAGAAATGAGAAAATAATCACTTTTTTTTTTAGATTGTAATGTTCTCTCTGATCCTTGGTTGAAAAAGCTGGCATCTATTATATAATGGGGGGGGATAAACCAAAGATGAACTTAATCCCAATAAAAGCTTAAGGGCAAAAACTAACACTAAAAAGATATTGGTACACTTAAGAACAATAAATTTTGGGAAACTTACATTATTGAGATTACTGCATATTAAACACTGAGCTAGAAATTTCTCATACACTATCTGAATTTAATTCTAACAACCCACTCAGTTTCACCTTAATTAGGGAGGTGATTTATCTGGTTAAGATCAGGATATTTAATCTATTTAGAGGGGAATGGAACACCTTCATATGGAAAGCTGTAATTTATAGCTCAGATTGTATCTTCAAATTCTAGGTTGGCCAGTTTATAGCCATGTATAACCTGGGCAGGTTACCTAACCTTTTCTAAATCTTTCTAAGTCCTTATCTGTAAATTATTGTTACACCTCACATAGTTACTGTGCTTACCATAAGCAAGCACTCAATAAATGGAAGATACTATTATTGGTATTTTCTGTTTCAAAGGGATAGGAGTTTCAATGACTACAATCACAGTTTCCTGTTATAGGTCTTTTCTCCAGATTTGGGTTGGCAACCTTTCTCCCCAAGGAACAGCTCTTCTCTAAAACAAAATGGTACTATGAAACTTAAGGAAAACTACCTAGCAGTAGCCAAGTTTGAAAATCACTGCTCTTGGTAATAAGTATATTTCATGAGATAAGGTCTGCCTCATTCCTGATATGAACTCAAATATCTATTGAATTAACTAACCAATAAGCAATACTACATCTAACCCTCCTGGAGAGCTCTCACAAGGTTTTCAGTTTTACTACAATCCAGAAAGTAAATGATCACAATCAGATAAAATTAAGCATCTAATAATTTAGCTTATTAAAGCATTATTATAGAAAAAAGCAAAAGGAAGGCAGAAATAAAAATGGAGAACAACATGAGATTGTTGATAACCTGTTGAGACAATAAAATAAACACCTTCCAATTAGTAAAAATTACTAAGAAAACATATCAAAAGGGCTATTAAAATATGCTGGTATTCTTTACTCAGTTAAGATGATCTTACACTTTAAGAAACTGAGAAATAATACAGTCTATCTCTTAAAATTTCTAGCACAAGATAATGAAGTTCAAAGAATCAAAGTAATTTGCTTAAGATTTCAATGTTATATAACCAATTAAAACTAGTCAGGAATTCTGAGGGCAGTGTGGTGTTCTCCACAGGGGTGTTTCTCAAATCTGTCTGTATATTACTATCGGTTTAAAAACAAGCAACTAAAACACCACAAACAAACCTAGAGAGGCCTGGGCCCTACTCTATGACAGTAAAATTAGAAATTCTGGGAGAACAGGGACCAGTTTGGCTCAGTGGATAGAGGGTCAGCCTGGGGACTGAAAGGTCCCGGGTTCGATTCCGGTCAAGGGCATGTACCTTGGTTGCGGGCACATCCCCAGTAAGGGGTGTGCAAGAGGCAGCTGATGGATGATTCTCTCTCATCGATGTTTCTCTCTATCCCTCTTTCTTCCTCTCTGAAAAATCAATAAAATATATTAAAAAAAAAAAAAAAAGAAATTCTGGGAGAAAATTGGGAACTTGGTATTTAAAACAAAACAAAACACCTTCCCAGGGGAGTCTAATGTGCAGCCAGGCTTCCCCATAGCTGAGGTTCTCCACTGGCAGCAATATTACTCCCCAGGGGACATTCCGAAGATTTTTGGTTCTCACAAATAGGGGGATGCTACTGGCATCTGGTAGGTAAAGGCCAAGGATTCTGCTAAATGTCATATGGTTTACTGGTCAACCTCATTAAATAAAGAAATATCTGCTGTTTCATAAATACTTGGAGTTTCATTAAAGATATATTAGTAATTCATCTGTTTTTCCTAATATTCTTACCTTTGAATATATCACCAATAGCTTATACATTTTTATAAATATTTGGTTATTTCTAATAAAGTTGGTGTCAACATTCCTGTATAATTTTTTATATAGATAGGTTTTATTTACTTTTGTTAAAAAGTGAGTGCATAATCTGAGTCACTGAGTATTTGAATGTTTAAATTTACAAAGATTAGCACATTGTGGTCTAAAGTGAATACACCACCATGGATGTTGAGGTTCAGTTGTTTGGGGGTGGTCCCATATACAGAAGGGTTGCCAGTCGAATTGCTTGGCGTGTCCCTGGGTTGTGGGCTAGCTTCCCAGAATAGGGTGTGCAGGAAATGGCTGGTCTATGTTGCACTCTTGCATTGTGTTTTTCTCCCTCACCCTTATCTCTCCAAAAATTAATAAAACTGCCCGCCTGGCATGCCTCAGTCATTGAGCTTTGACCTATGAACCAGATGGTCATGAATCAATTCCAGGTCAGGGTACATTCAGGAGTTGCCGGCTCAAACCCCACTGTGGGGTGTGCAAGAGGTAGCCAGTCAATGACTCTCTCTCATCATTGTTGCTTTTATCTCTGCCTTCCTTTCTGAAGTCAATAAATATATATTTAAAAAAATCAAACTATCTCTTAAAATTAAAAAGAAAAAAAAAGAAAAAGATAGCTGGTGGAGCCCTGGCTGGTGTGGCTCAGTTAGTAGGAGTGTCATACAGTACACTGAAAGGTCTTGGGCCTCAGGATCCATTCCTGGTCAGAGCACAAACCTAGATTGCAGGTTTGGTCTCTAGTCCTCAGTCAGGCACCTTTAGGAATATTTCTCTTTCACACCTATGTCTGTCTGTCTCCCCTCCCCTCTCCTTCCCTTTCCCCTCTTTAAAAATCAATGAGCAGTCCTCACATGAGGATTAAAAATAAGTAAGTAAGTAGGTAAGTATTTGGTCAAAAATGTCAACATGCTGAGGTTGAGAAACCCTGATTTAAAGTCATACTGTTATCTGTTTATAAGTGTTACCTGAATGATCTGTTTTTCATTTTACTTCCCAGATATGAAGACAAATACCAGAAATCAGTCATCTGGTGGTACCCTATTTTAAAATCTTGCATACTTAATCATTAAAGGCTTCTAAATGTCCAACATTTTCAATTCATAGCAGCTGAGACTATGGTTTATAAAATTAACAGCTATAGAGCAAAGCTTATGTTTGTAAAATGAAGTGCTCAGCAGTGGCTGGCAGACAGGACCAAGAAGTCATCCTTGCCCTAAGATAGTATTCCTTTTCTGACCATGCCAGAGTTCTCAAGTAGTCCTAAAACTCTGAGAGGAAGAAAATTAAACAGGCCACAGGAAATAGAAAGGAATTTTAGGCTGTGGGCCTCTGGGAGAAATAATGTAGGATTTTATGTTGACCAGATGACTGCTACTTGGAATATAGATTGCTGTGCAACTTGCCTTGTTGCAGGTATACAGAGAGGTAATCTTATAAAATCAGGCCAATGAGGTTATTTTTATTTTATTATTTCTTTGGAGGATTTTTCTCTATTCTTTCTTTCCCCTAAAATTGAACTGAGTATGTAGTCTGAAAAACCAAAGCAAGCCAAGTCTTTCTGCCTCTTCTACACTGAACAATACATATAAAAGGTATATCTTACATGAATGAAAAAGTAACTTTTTTTGTCCCTACATCAAATTGCTTCACCAGTGGAGCATAAATGATGTCTCCAAAAGATCTCAAGATTTTCAAGCTTAAGAACAAAGCTCACAATCCAAGATTTAATATTCATTTGAGTTGACTAGTAACTACTTTTCAGAAACTAATATAAAAGAAAAACCTCAGGTGAAACAGCAAACACTATACATTTGAATTTTCATAGAGCAATTGTTATTGGAAAAGTAAAAATTATTTAGTCTTATTTGTTAGACCAAAGGAAACAGGGAAATGAAACAATTCTGACAAAATGGTGGGTCAGAAAATAAGAATCTAAATGTCTAGGTCCAATATTAGCCTTCTTTAGAGTAAACTATTTCATATCTATCAGTAAAAGGGAATGAACACAGGAACACCTGAATCATGGGTTTACTACCATATCCCCATACCTATGCACACACAGGCACTCAATAAATGTCTGTGGAATTGAACTGCAATACTGGATAAGAATAACATCTTTGTCACCACACAGTTTTATCTTAAACTAGTATCAGTAGAAATGTTGTGACCAATCACCTTTGCTTAAAAGGTTGGAGCTTCTTCACAAGAATATATATATTTTATTGATTTTTTACAGAGAGGAAGGGAAAAGATTAGAGAGAAACATCGATCAGCTGCCTCCTGCACACCCCCTACTGGGGATGTGCCCGAAACCAAGGTACATGCCCTTGACTGGAATCGAACCTGGGACCCTTCAGTTCGCAGGCCAACACTCTATCCACTGAGCCAAACCAGTCAAGGCTTCACAGGTATCTTACAGTCAACATGAATCACATACACCACAAAAGGACTTAATGCTAAACTAAAAAAAGACTGTAAATCAGGAAACAGAAAAACTGAAAACTTTTTTTAAAAGTCACTACAAAAACTGATATGTACAGATTATGTTTTTAAAAAATATATTTTTATTGAGTTTTAGAGAAAGGGAGGGAGAGAGAAACATCGGCTGCCTAAAGCCAGCAACGTTTCAGTGCACGGGACACCCAATCAACTGAGCCACACCTGCCAGGGTTGTACAGATTATCTGAAATGTATTATTAATTGAGCCATAAGAAACCAAAAATTATTTTTAAAAGTTCTACTTAAGTGACAAACACAAGGTATAAATATATATAATTAATATCTCTTAACTAATATAATGTACCATGATATTATATATCTATTATCTAGTATGTAATGCCTGGTGTAGATTCTAAATTATACTAATGTTATTAAATCAAGTATTAAACATTTTTTACTGTTTTACTTATATTGTGACCAAGATTACACAATTTACTGTCAATATGCATTAGTCTATGTGGTTTTGTCCATGCTGAAATTTTAAAGGGTAAACCAATCAAATGCACCTTCATTTTAAAAATACAACCACAGACCTATAATAGTAGCTACAAAGTTCAACAGTCAAAATAGGATGGAAGATTTTTTTTTATCCAATTGCTATGAATTCACATAAAATTAATCCCAATAAGACATAAATGTGCTTTAAAATATTTCTTAAGCCCTGGCCGGTTTGGTTTAGTGGATAGAGCGACAGTCTGTGGACTGAAGGGTCCCAGGTTTGATTCCAGGCTGGGGCACATACCCAGGTTGAGGGTTTGATCCCCAGTAGGGGGCGTGTAGGAGGCAGCCGATCAATGATTCTCTCTCATCATTGGTGTTCCTGTCTCTCCCTCTCCCTTCCTCTCTGAAATCAATAAAGAAATATATTTTTTAAAATATATATATTTCTTAACATCCTATACCATACAATTTTGGAACTCTTTTTAAAAAATTAAACTTATTGAGGTAACATTGGTTAATGATATTATATAAATGATATAATTAAGTCTAGGCATGGGCTCTGCTAGTCAATCCATACTGGTGGATAGAGAAAGGAATATAAATAACGCTTTACTCTTTTTGAACAAGAATCTGTTCATCTTTCAGAGCTCAGCTCACATTATTCAATAAAAATTTAATGCTTCTCATGTGCCCAAAACTGCTCAATGTCCCAGTACAATGCTATCTAATAGATTTTCTGAGATGACAGAACTATTGGAATAGGAGCAAAAGCCATTGCCAATGTGGTGACTGTGCATTTGAACTATAGTGCTACTGTAAACAGAATTGAATTTTAAATTTAATTTTAATTAATTCAAATTTAAATAGTCAAATGTGGCTAACGGCCACCACCATACTGGACAGGGCAACGCTAGTTTTAAAGAAATAAACAAGATAGACAAAGACCCTGCCTTCATGAAGTTTACAATCCAGTAAGAAAAAATATATTAAGCAAATAAGCCAATAAATATATATAGTTTTGGGTGGTGATTGGAAGTGGTGTCTTTTGGAAAGAGTGATTAGAGAAAGCATCTCTAAAAAAATCTGGATTGGGGACTTGCCCTTTCAATTAGCTCCCATGAATCCTACCTACACGGATTGCACAGAACTCTATTGATAAACTGCTAGTTTATCTTAGTCAGCTGTATTCCAGCAACTAACATAAATGTTTCCTGAGCAGTATGCAGAAGTAATATCTATAAAACTTCCAAAACTGACCCAGTCGGGCAGTGTTCAAAATACAGTAAAGACTCAGAGTTTAGAAAGTGTGGAGAGAGACCAGAGCAAAAACCACCTGCTCTTCCCACCCGGCAGCTTTGGAGCCTCACTTCAAAACGGCGCTGAGAGCAAGGACTGCCTCCGCCTTCCGTTCTTCTCGTCCCCAGACTTTTACTCTGAATGACTAATTCAGAGTTTCTCAGCCTCTGCCAGAGCACACTCTCATTGCAAATACGCTTCTCCAGGCTGCTTCAAGCAACGCTGCCCCTCCTTCGCCGATCTCCTCCTGCCACTGGATTCACAGTTCCTGGAAAGTTAATTTCCACTCACACCTTAGAGGCGCTCTGCTGCTCCTGCACACCGAACACTCAGTCATGAGTTAATGAGTCCAATACGTGGTAAACGATGGAAACAGACTTTTCGTGATGGACGCCCAACAGCATTTACAGATATCGAATTGTAATCCTAACCTAAACACCTGAAATGTGTATAATGTTATTAACCAATGCCACCTCGGTTAAAAAAAAAAAAAAAAGAGCCAATGAATTAGGAAAAGGAACCACAGGAGAGGCTGTTTATCTAAAACATAATGACAAACGCTTTTCCTTTTTCCTTTTATACCCGAAAAGTAATGAGGCCGGGAGGGCGGAGTGAAAAAGCTCAGAGTGGACGGGGTGAATGGCCGGGAAGTGAAAATGGGCGGAAACTGGAGACTGCCAAAGCCCTGCAATCCAGCTCCCCCAACGTCCAGCTCCCCCAGACCCTCCCCCGTAGCTCGGGGGAAAGAGAGAGACCCCAGCGGAGGGGAGAGGAGAGGGGAGGGGAGGCGCGGGGCAGGGCCAGGGGGGCGGCGGCGCAGCCCCCTCCGGCGCCGTTCCGCTGGGGCCGGGGCCCGGACCCCGGGCCGGCCCTGCCGGCGGGGGCCGCCAGTTACCTGCTGGTCTCCAGCGAAGAATAGCGCTCCGGCAGAACCTGGAGGCAGCGCTGGAAGAACCGCACGTGCCGGTCCCGCAGGAAATCCAGCCGCTCTCCTTCGCAGTCCCCCGCCGGCTGCCCGTCCTCCGCGGCCGCCATGCTGCTGCGGAAGCGACGCCCGCCGTGACCCGGAAGCAGTTGGCGGGCGGCGCGAAGGGACCCCGAGGAGCTGGACCGGGTGCATTTGCTGAAGACACGGTCACTGGGAAGTCGGGCCCCGCGCTTTATCGCCGGGTTCCTTCCTAGGCAGAGCACCACCCAAGCTTTCCTACTCCAGACCCCAAAGCCTCGGAAACACCTCGCAAGCCTTGTAAAGTGCGGCCCACACACTAGTGCTTTGAAGCGCAATGTCAATAGGTCCAAGTGTGCTTTGAGGAAATCAGGCCCCAAACGTCATGGGGATGGAATAGATGAAAACAGCAATGGCTCGGTATAAATTTTCCAACAGACTCATTTTGCGGGGGAGGCCACAGTTTTAAGCTGAATAGATATGTTAACTAAACCTACAGTTCAATCTATGGATATAAACAAATGTTTAAGTGATTACTGACACTACAAAAGTTGAGTCGTTCCCAGTTCTCGAGAATATCAGAAATCACGTTTAAATATATCTAAGTGCAATATGCATGCACAACATATACTCACACATGTGACTGCTTGCATTTTTCTTTTACAAGTTTAGAGGTTTTACTCTCTGCTTGAATCAATGTTTTGACTTCAGCATCACTGTTTTATCAATTTGCAACAGCAAGTAAGCTCCATCTATTCTCCAACTACCCATATACTAAAAAGTGAAATCACATGCTCCCCCCCCCCCCCCCCCCAAAAAAGAGGGATTTAAGTTGCTTCAGCATTTCTCTTTAAAACTTCATAATGAAATATTGAGAGAAAAAGAAACCCTCCCTAGGGTCAGGCTTGAAACTAGATTGTTTTGTTTTATAATCAATTGAGCTAATAGAAGTTTGGGTATAATTTTTATTAGCTTTGTTAGAAAACTTATTTCTTAAAACGTGTATCATGTGGGCTGGAGTTATCTCATACTTATTCACCAATCCAAAGTGCCTACTACTTACAGATTTCCTGAATGTCAGCAAATACAGCAGTAACAAATGGCTGGGTATAAGCAGAGGGCTGTCCTTGGTGCTTCTCTACAATTATGGAGTCCATAATCCTTGCCCTTCAGGTATGCCCTAGCTAGAGTGTTTTCACTACATTATTACATACACACACACACACACACAATATCTGAAGATGTTCAAAGTGTAGTCATATAAAATACATTTAACTTACCAGAATCAACTATGCATACTCTATATATGCTCTGAAAGATAATCCTCTTCAAACTGGCCCTTAAAAGGAAGCCAAATATTTCACCTGATTCTCAGCAATCTGATCCAAATCAGGAGGAAATATTTCTAGGATGGGCTCAGTGAGAAGTAATATTATATACTTCTAGGTAAAGAAAAGGCTTTTCATGGGTGATTTTGATCATACAAGTTTTCTGACATATCCATGACAGAATATAACCCCTACATAGAATGCCACTCAACATTATTAGCTATGTTTTGTTTTATTTTGTCTTATAACCAATTGAGCTAATAGAAATTTGGGTATAATTTTAATTAATAGCTTTGCTGGAAAATTAAAGAAGTATAAATAGCTCAAGTCTTCAAAGCATCCTCATTATAATTGAATCTTATTTAGCCATTATGTAGAAAGAGAAAAATATGTGTAATGTAAAGTGCTTACAATATAGTAACTAACTTAATCTATGACTATAGCTATTTAAAAATATGTAGGTATACTTTTGGAAAAAGTTACCCGGGGGTGGTTGAATTGGTGCTTTATAACATTTGTGTGTGTGTGTGTTTTTCTAAATTTCTTATTAACATACTTTTAAACCAGTTTAAGAAGTGTTTGACATCTCTTCTATGAGCTTGCAACTGAAGACATGTCTGTTGTTTATTTTACGTAGTCTGTATAAAGAGCCATATAACAAATTCCTCATTCACTTTAGATTCAGTTAGAAGGACTGGTTGTTCAAAGAAACTTCCATACACTTTCTATTATTAAAAAGACAAAAAAAATAAAAATAAACAAATTCATATAGCATTGCCCACTATGCTTACCTTAGATGCAGGAAATTGAAAGCTGCATTTGTGTGTGGAAAAAAAAGCAACATGTTAGTAAGTAGCACATAAAAACCTTTACTTTTCTGTATCTTCTTATTCAATTGTTTTTAAATTCCCTTGTCCTGTTCTATATTTTATTCTAAACAGCCTCAAATCATTTTTAAAATTCATGGAAAATGAATGCTACAAATAAAATATGCTTTCCTGATTAAGGATGTTTTATGTTAATCCTCCTATTTTGCAACAATAACTGTGTAATAATAATTTAGTTCCCTTTAGAAATTATATTTACTTTGTGTAATAATTGTAAAATAAGAAAAAAGTTTTGACTATTACTCATAGTAAATTTGAGTCATTTGACCTAAATGTATCAAGTTACGTCTAAAAGTCATAAGAAATAACTTTATTATGTATACTAGAGGCCTGGTGCATGAAAATTCATGCACTGGAGAGAGGGGGCCCTCAGCCCAGCCTGCCCTCTCTCACAGTCCTGGAGCCCTCAGGGGGGGAGGCGACTTGGCCCCATCACACCTCTGCTACTGCCACAGCCGGCAGCAAGCCTTGGCCAGCCCTAGTTACCCGAGTCTCGAGTGGCCCTGGATAGGTGGACAGCCAACATCCAAGGCTTGCCTGCACCTTGGGCTGGCCCTGGGCAGCTGGAGGGCAGAGGGCGGGTCCAGCCACACTGTGTGCCTGCCCCTCTTCCCCCAGCAGGGCTGGAAGGACTGGGGGGCTCCCGCAGGGTTGAGGAGACTGGGCACTGCCATCTTGTGGTTATGGGTGCCGCAATCTTTTTGATGGTGTGATGGTCAATTTGCATATTCCCTCTTTATTAGATAGGACGGTAACTTTTCTATAAGCTGTTGAGAACTAATTAAAGTTAGGAACTAAGATTTTATATGAAAAGTTGAGGCTAATTGTTACATTGTGTTTTCACGTACCAAAGCTTGTAAATTTTAAAAGTAACTTTTGAACAAATGTTTTGAGGCAAACAGAAGCAGAAAATTGAATCAGGCAAGAAGATATGAAAGACATAAAGATTTTATAAATGTGTAAAGTCCAAAAAGGCTAAAAGGAAAATTGGAAAAGCTAAAGAAAATCAAAAAGATTTTATCAATAATACAAATAATAGAGTATAAATGAGGTGTGAACTGTGAGGCATATTTTTAATATAAATATATAAAACAAAGCATGCTTTGAACAAATACAAAATATTTATTACATAAAAATGTAGTAACTAATAAACTACCAATTTGTTAAACTTAGAAAAAGTACTAACTTATTTCATAATTCAAACCAAAAAATTTTTTATATTTTTGTTACTCAAGCTAACTTACCTCCAAAATATAAATGTTACAAAAGTTTGGTTTGAAAATGTCATTCCGTGATTGTCCCAACTTATTTTGCTGTGGCATGCCAAAAAGAAAGTATCTTTGAAATGTTGTGGGTATTTAAATGAAATAGTATTTATAACACAAACTTATTCAAAAAAAACTTTTACATAATAATAGGCCAACATACACATTACATACCCTCTTGATATAAACAGGAAATACTAATGACAATACTACTTGGAGCTTAACATCTGTCAATTTACATACAACACCATAATCAGTCTGTCTTAACTAGTGATATTTAAAAAAACATGCTGTGAATCACTCTGTCCTATTCAAGCTGAATATGTTAACATTCCCATCAACTGAATACCAATTTCATTATCTCATATTCTTTTCTAAAGTCCTTGTCTCCAGGTTGGAATAGCCCTAGGAGAAGAAAAGAAGAGTAATTATAAATACATGAAAAACTTTTATAAAAACCCTAACTGATTATATGTTAACTTCTATTTCTTTTACTTGAACTTTTTTATAAAGCAAGTTTTATTCAGGTAGAGAAGAAGCAAGAGTAAGGGTGTGGATGCCAGTGTGAAACAAGTGAAAAGTATGCATCTAAGTGGAGGTGGGCCAACTCGAGTTATGCCAATTAAATGTTAATTTAAAAAATATATGTAGATTTATTTTTATCACTTTTTACTATAAAATATAATGTATATATCAAAGTTGCACAAAATATAAACATGGTTATTTTTTAAAATATATATTTTATTGATTTTTTACAGAGAGGAAGAGAGAGGGATAGAGTTAGAAACATCGATGAGAAACATCGATCAGCTGTCTCCTGCATACCCCCCATTGTCCACAACCAAGGTACATGCCCTTGACCGGAATTGAACCTGGGACCCTTCAGTTTGCAGGCCGACGCTCTATCCACTGAGCCAAACTGGTTTTGGCTAAACATGGTTATTTAAAAAAATATTTTTATTGATTTCAGAGTGGAAGAGAGAAGGGGGAGAGAGAGAGAAACATCAATGCTGAGAGAGAATCATTGATTGGCTGCCTCCTGCACACCTGATAAGGGGGGGCGGGGCAGGAGAGGGGGATGTTGAGCCTGAAACCCGGGCAAGTATTATGACTGGGAATCAAACCATGACCTCCTGATTCATAGGTCAGTACTCAAACGCTAAGCCATGCTGGCCAGGTGTAACATGCAGTTATTAAATTATAATAAACACTTCTTCTAACTCCTTTTTACCTATGTGGGATATGTAGAAGTGGCCCAGAGCCTGTTGGTCCTAAGTTTTTGGTCCGTTCTTCCCAGCCTTTGGTAGGTTTGTAAAGCCTAGAAGGATCTCTGTTAACATTGTTTTCAACCTGTAATCAGAAGTAAAATGAATCTGAAATATTAACATTGTATTTGTGATCCTTACTAAGAAAAATACTTGATATTGAAAACTGTTAATAATCTTTTCTGTAAACTTTTTATTGTGCTCATATAGCTAAAATAAAAGTTGGGACTATATCAATCAATAAACTGTTACTTTAGTTTCTTTTTTCTAGTTCAATTATTTTATTCTGTTTATAGTATGAAGGAAATATGCAGCAGCAAATAGTGCCATAGCCAGGCAACAAAATTAGGATAAATATCCACCACTAAGTTCTTTGTTTTGTTGAGAGTCACCTATATCTCTAGCTATTAGTATCACCAATTGAGATTAAGCACTGTGTTTATAATGTGAAATGATAGAATTCAAAAAATAGTTTAAATTGTACTAAGCTATGCTAAATAAGTACATTTTAAAGAAGATGATACAGAAATCAAGCTGGATATAAAGAAAACGGATGTTTGTATCCTTACAAATCATGGAATTAGAACAACAAAAATAATCTCAGTAAAGAGTACCTTTTTTTTTAATTTTGCCAGTCTTCTTTGTTTTTCTGCCTTTTCATCTTCTTTTGACTGTCTATCAAGAATTTTCAGTTCAAGTTTACGCAAATCCTAAGAAACATATGCCAACAAAAATTTAACATTAGAAAGTAAAATCAACAAAAATTTGTTTCAAACTTTAGCTGCTTGAAAGTAAAATTAAATAACTTTAAATATTAATATTCCTTAACCTTTCCCAACAAGAGCAAAAGCTTTATTTTCCTTGAAAATAAGTGTGATACATGCACAGTTTTGGAATTATTTTCTGCTTGGTTATTTCTTATTTTAATAGGTGAGTTAAGCCCACTTTCAGTACAGATATGTCTGGTTTTAGATCTCATATTTGGGGCATTTTGTTATTTGGGGAGATATTTTTATAGAGACTAACATTCCACGAATGTGTTTTTGCTTAATTTTTTGTACTTTTCTTGATTTTTGCTTTATAGATATTGCTGTTTTATCTCATTTGCACTCTTTTTCGTTTTAAGGTATATATACTTTGTCTTTTTGAGACTCTTAGGCCTGAATTCTACTTTGATAAGACTATAATCTCGTTGACTGCATTTTCTTATATATATTTGTTTTTAAATCATTTATGATCCTACCTCTCAGCAATAACCTTGATTCCTTTAAATATACATTGAATATCTACAATGTCCAGGGTACAGGAATAAACAAAGGACAAAAATCTCTACTCTTATGGAGCTTCTATTATGATGGGAGATGGACCGTAAACAAGTAAGGAAATCATCTGTGGGGAAAAGCCAGTCAGTTTGGCAAAGAAAAAGCAGTCTAGCTTGTGGCTACCTTTCCAGCCTTGTTCCTGCTGATTCCCACCTTCCATCCGATGCCCTTAGGATACTGAAGTGTTCGTGGGTTCCCCCACAAACCACTGTTAGACTTCTCCACGCTGTCATTCACGCTGTTCCCTTCGCTAGGAAAGATCTCCCCTTTCTTCTTCAAGACTTAAATACCACTTAGTGTTTCTCTGATACTAATAGCTATGGTAATAAGCTACCCTCCCTGCATACCCATCTTCTAAAATTCTCTGTCCACAATCACCTCAATCACGACACTATTTACTACATCATACAGAAATATACTTGCCCATCTATCTTTCCCACTAGACTAGACTATACAAGAAATGAGGGCGGGGACAGGGAGGTGGAATGAGAGAGCATGGGTAAGCAGAAGCCTAATATAACAGAAGCACTCAATTTTTCCTGAACTGAATCTGGAAGTATTACCTCTATTTGTAGTAACACCACTAAATAATTTCTAAAATTATTCAAAACGTATTTACTCTTTCTTGAAATCTGGAAATTTCATCAGCAACCGTTTTCCTTTTTTCTGCCTTTTCTGCCTTTTCCCTTATCTCCTTTTCAAGTCTTAAAAATTCTTCCTGTTCTTTCTTCTGCTGGGTGTAGTTTTCTAGTAGTAATTTTAGTTTAAACTGGCGTTGGCGCTCTTTCTGTTGCCTTTTCTCTTTCTCTTCCTCTTCTTTTAACTGGGAAGCATATTTCATTGACATTTCTATACTTTTCTGTTTTTTCCAAGCTTCCACTGCCAATTTCTGCCTCTTTCTTTGTTCCTCTTTTAGCTTTTGATTATCTTCTTGTTTGCTTTGAAAAAGCATAGGCATGTCCTCTGCCTTTTCCTTGAAAATTTCCTCCTTTTTTTGCAGCTTTTTAGTTTTCCAATTCTGAATAGACTGATGAAGAAAATATAGTAAGGGAAAAATTAATAACCAAAAGCACTTTAAAATACAACCTCAAATCTATCTTTCTATAAAGAATATTAGTTACAGGATACTTAGGTTTCCAAGTGTTGTTGTTGTTGCTTTCTTAACCAGTACAGTTTTTTCTACTTTTGTTTTTAAAAATTAATGTCTCTTAAACCACTGAATAATGATTTATTCTTTTGGCCTTTCTTATCCTCTCAACCCCCAGTTCACAAAGATTACACCTCAATTGTTTGTGTTCATGGGAAACATTCTTTTCCTCTGATCATCTTACTTATGCTTCCAAAATCCTCTTTCAAGGCTTAAAATCCTTTCTGAGTGACCTTTCTTTGTTCAAATATCAGAAGGGGAATTAAGAGTGATGTGGTTGAGAGTATGGGCTCTGAAGTCAGACCATTTAGAACCAAATCATGGCTTTCCCATTTCTGGTGGACATAGAGGGCTTTGCCCACAATCAGAAGTTTTCTAGCCCACTATATTATTTCTTGGGGTAGAAATGTTTGGCCTTAGAAAGTCCAACTATAGTTCCTTTAGTTAAGTTACTTAAAACTCCCCAATGCCCATTGTACCTTCTGTAAGATGGGGTGAAAACTGCAAATATTCCTCATGGAGTTGTTGTAAAATGAATAAATGTTAAAGAGTTTACCACAGTAGCTAGAACAGAGAAAAATATAACAAATAATAGCTATAATAATTATTATTACCTCTTTTTTCCTTTCTTCTAGGGCCAGAAACTTTTGATACCATTTCTCATGCTGTTCAACTTCATCCTGTGTTCTTCCGGGAAGGTGTTCTAGGGCTTCTCCCATAAATGTTGGCTTCCCTTTATGTTTGTTTCTCACCTTTACAAAGTTCTGGTGATCATAGTCATCCCAGCCCCCTTGTCGCCCTCCTGTTTGCTGAAGGAATTTTTCAAAATCCACCACTTCCTCTGGAAGAGTAGTTGGTGCTACTTTGTCTACAGGCACCTTGCTTGACATCACTCTGAAAGCTTTATCTGTTTCTGAACTACCCAAAACCCATGTATCAATCTTCCTTGAGATGGCACTCAACTCATTATTAGTTATTTTCTCTTCTTTAATAAGCTCTTCATATCTAAAATTTCAAAAATAAAGTTTGAATAATAAGATACAAATCAATCCATATTAACCCTTTATTTTTCCTCTTATTTAAATTATTGCTCTTTTCATGTCATCATCTTCACTTAGCACTATTAACATTGATAAATCTAAGACTTGAGTTTCCTCAGAGAATAATGTCAACTTCTTATCTAAGATTTTATAGTGTCCATATATACATGAACATTCACTTTAAACATGAAAAGCAATTTATAACCTAAAACAAAATTAGAAAAGTGTTGTTGCCTCTGTGTAAGACTAATGTTATACATCTATACTACTAAAAGGGTAATAGGCTAATTACACCGGGAGACCTTCCAGACATCCTTCTGGACAAAGCCAGGGTGGTGGGGCTGAGGCAGAGGCAGTTACGGGCAATCAGGTGGGGGGGAGGCAGTTAGGGACAAGCAGGGCAGCAGGGGGGGGGGGGCAGTTGGGGGTTATCAGGCTGGCAGGCAGAGCGGTTAGGGGTGAGCAGGCAGGCAGGCAGGCAGGTGAGCAGTTAGGAGCCAGTGGTCCCGATTGTGAGAGGGATGTCCAACTGCCAGTTTAAAGAGAGTACAGGCCAGGCTGAGGAGCACCCCTCTCCCCTACGACCCCAGCACAAATTTTGTGCACCGGGCCACTAGGTATAACAGTAAAATGGCTTATATATAACCACCTAGTGGAGAGTTATTGGGAATATATATCAATAATTTTATATTAAAACATGTTTAAAACATACATTAATCTCTGCTCCTCCTTAAAAGTGTTAATTGCATTTTCGATTTCTTCCATCATTTCTCTGAGCTTTTCAACAACTATAAAAAAACAGAAAAATTATATCATTTCATTGTGACTAAGAATTAAATATTAGGGAAAAATGGACTGTTCCCTTAACTTAAAAACATTTATTATCCTAAAGGATAAGAAAAATATACTTATGGCCGAAACTGGTTTGGCTCAGTGGTAGAGCATCGGTCTGCGGACTGAAAGGTCCCAGGTTCAATTCTGGACAAGGGCATGTACATTGGTTACGGGCACATCCCCAGTAGGGGGTGTGCAAGAGGCAGCTGGTCGATGTTTCTCTGTCATCGACGTTTCTAGCTCTCTATCTCTCTCCCTTCCTCTCTGTAAAAAATCAATAAAATATATATTTTTTAAAATAAAAAAAATAAAAATATACTTATAAAAAGCTAATTTTTATTACAATTTTTCCCCTACACATATATATCATTAAATATTATTATTATTTACCAAAAATGTTTCATACTACATATGTGTTTTATAACTTGTAGTTTTTATTTAACAAAATGTTGTGGTTAACTAACATATTATTTTATTATCTAAATCTACCCTAATTCATTAATCAACCTTTAAATAGATGCAGTGCTGTAATAAATATCTTTGCATGTATTTTTTTGCATGCTCAAATAAGTATTTTTAGAGGATAACCGGTAAAAGTTGAAATGCTAAATAAAAAAGTATGCTTATTTTCCAATATGCTAGACAGCATCACATTATCCTTCAGAGAAGCTCCACCAACTTACTATAAAAAAACAGAAAAATTATATCATTTCATTGTGACTAAGAATTGAATATTAGGGAAAAATGGACTGTTCCCTTAACTTAAAAACATTTATTATCCTAAAGGACCCTGAGAGTGCTCCTTCCCAGGCAGGTACTTTTAATCATTTCCAATATGAAAGGCAAACATTTATTGTTCCTGATTTAATGGACATTTTTTCTCCTTTTGTATTTTTCTCACTGTAAAATGGACCTTAATATCTTTGCCCATTTTTCTATTAGATAATTCACCTTTGTTACTCTAATTTGTAGGCACTCTTTATATATTACTAGAGACCCAGTGCACAAAATTAGTGCACGGGTAGGGTCCCTAGACCTGGCCGGTGATCAGGGCCAATTGGGACTTTCCAGCTGCCAACCATGGTTTCCCTTCCCTGACTGCCAGCTATCAGTTAGGGCCTTCCTTTGTTCCACACCACCCCCCTGGTGGTCAGCACATGTCATAGCAAGCAATCAAACTCCTGGTCTCTCAGTCGAACTCCTGAGGGGACACTCTGCATATTAGCCTTTTAAGTTACATATATCACTAATATTTTCCTGTCTTTCAACTTTGCTTATATAAAGATTTGTGGGCTTTTCTTGGTATTTCGTTTTTTTAAGCAGTCAGTTTTGCCCACTATTTTCTTTATGGTTTCTGATCTTTGTCATTCTTATAAACTATAATCCTATATAATAAAAGCCTAATATGCAAACCGACCAAACAGCAGAACAACTGGCAGAATGACCAGTCACTATGATGTACACTGACCACCTGGGGGCAGATGCTCAACACAGGAGCTGCCCCTTGATTGTCAGTGCGTTCCCAACAGACAATGCTCCAACCGAGCGTGGGCAGGACTTATAGCATTTTAAGATAAAAAGCTATGTAAACATCAGATAATACAGTTCTCTAATGTATTCTTATCAATCCCTAACCAATAAAACAGGGCTTAGTTCCAGAGCAGGGTTCATGGCTGGTGAGTGCAGCGGCAGGGCGGGAGCCTCCCCCGCCTCCATGGTAGCACTAAGGAGCGGCCAGCTGAGTAGTAAGGAGTAGCAAGCAGGCGGGTGGTAAGGAGTGAGGGCTTCCAGACTGTGAGAGGGATATCCGACTGCCAGCTTAGGCCCGCTCTCTAAGCTGGCAGGTGGACACTCCCCGAGGGGTCATAGGCCAGGCTGAAGGACCCCCCACCCCCCAATGAATTTCATGCATTGGACCTTTAGTACAATTATTAAAATATTAGCCCATGTTCTCTTCTAGTATTTTTATGGTTTTTTATATTAATTTAACAAACTATAATATTCATATTTGCCATTTTGCTTTATGTACACTGTGTCACTTCATCCCCGAACAACTCTGAGTTAAGTACTGTGGTTATTTTCATTTTAGAGCTGAGAGATGAAAGCTCAGGAAAATGAAAGAACTTGCCTAAAATCACATAACTGGTAGATCAAGAATTTGACTCAGTATCTGTTTGATTCTTAAAATCTATTCATCTTGAGTACTTTACTGTTTCTCTCTAACATAGTTGTTTCTCTCTTTCTCTCTCTCAAAATCATTAGAAACATATTTTCAGGTGAGGGTTTTTAAAAAATGCTATAAATTTTTATAAATTATGAAGTGGGCAAAACAGATATTAGGGTCATTTATAGGATGGAAAATCAGTGGTAATGAAAGATTCGCATGCAGCCCTAACCGGTTTGGCTCAGTGGATAGAGTGCCGGCCTGTGGACTGAAGGGTCCCAGGTTCGATTCCGGTCAATGATATGTACCTTGGTTGAGGGCACATCTCCACTAGGGGGTATGTAGGAGGCAACTGATAGATGTTTTTCTCTCATCCATGTTTCTAACTCTATCCCTCTCCCTTCTCTCTGTAAAAAATCAATAAAATACACACACACATACACACACACACGCACACACACACTAGAGACCCAGTGCATGAAATTCATGCACGGAAGGGGTTGGGTGGAGGGCGGTGGTGTCCCTCAGCCCAGCCTGCACCCTCTCCAATCTGGGACCCCTAAAGGGATGTTCACTGGGATCGGGCTTAAACGAGCAGTTGAACCTCTCTCTCACAATCCAGGACTACTGGCTCCCAACTGCTTGCCTGCCTGCCTTCCTGATTGCCCCTAACCACTTCTGCCTGCCAGCCTGATCACCCCATAACCACTCCCATGCTAGCCTGATTGATGTCTCACTGCTCCCCTGCCAGCCTGTTTGCCCACAACTTCCCTTCTCTGCCAGCCTGGTCACTCCTCTAACTGCACTTCCCTGCAGGGTTGATCACCCCCAACTGCCCTCCCTTGCAGGCCTAGTGCCTCCCAACTATCTTCCCTTGCTTGCCTGATCACCCACAACTGCCCTCCCTTGCAGGCCTGGTCCTCCCAACTGCCCTCCCCTGCTGGCCAACTTGTGGTGGCCATCTTGTGTCCACATGGGGGCAGGATCTTTGACCACATTGGGACAGCCACCTGGTGTGTTGGAGTGATAGTCAATCTGCATATTACTTTTATTAGATAGGATAGAGGCCTGGTGCATGGGTGAGGGCCAGCTGCCCTGAAGGGTGTCCTAGATCAAGATGGGAGTTCCCCTGGGGCGTGGGGTGGCCTGGGCGAGGGGCCTGTGGTGGTTTGCAGGCCAGCCACACCCCCTGGAGTCCCAAGCAGAGGCCCTGGTATCTGGAATTTACCTTCTACAGTTGAAACTTTGTAGCCTGGAGCAGAACCAAGCCTTCTGCTTGCACTGTGGCTGTTGCCATTTCTGTTTGGATTTGTTTACCTTCTATAATTGAAACTTTGTAGCCTTGAGTGGAGGCCTAGGTCTGCAAGGGCAGGCGGAAAGCTTGGCTACTCCCATTGCCTGGGAAACCCAAGCCTCCCTCCTGTTCTCTGTGGCAGCAGCCATCTTGGTTGGGGTTAATTTGCATACTCACTCTGATTGGCTGGTGGGAGTGGCTGGTGAGTGTGGCTTGTGGGTGTAGCAGAGGTGTGGTCAATTTGCATATTACTCTTTTATTAGATAAGATTATTGAAGAGGAAAAAAGACTGATTTCCTGATTTTTAGCCTAGTGGTTTTCCCATCAATTGGTTTTTGAAACAATTGCCTTTTAAGATGCATTCTAAATGCCTAAAGAAATGGTTAAAAAATATTTGGACAAACACTAGTCATTTGTAAAAAAATAAAATTGTATCCTTTTCTGTCTACTTATGTAAACATGAGGAAATCAGTCTTTTTTCCTTTTCATCGACTGTATATGCAACGTGGGTATGTGCTCTGACTGGGAATCGAACCTGCAACCTTTTGGTGTACAGGACAATGCTCCAACCAACTGAGCTTGGGCAGGATTTATAGCATTTTAAAGATAAAAAGCTATATAAAGTCAGGTAATACAATTCTCTAATGTATTCTTATCAATCCCTAACCAATAAAGTAGGTCTTAGTTCCATTAATGCTAAAGAGGAAAATTCCTATTAGAAAAGTATAAATGTTTCTAATGAACAATAAAAAACACACTAATATATAAGAATATAAAATCTAAATGTACTTACAACTAGGTGTAGGCTTCACATCTTTTAACTGATGCTGAAGTTTCTTTACATTATTATGTATTTTGGCCAATTGTTGCTGGATTTTTGATCCTATAAGGAAGAAGTATGTACTTTAAAATAATTCTATGATAAACATGGTTACAGTTCATGATTCTACACGTGAGACAGCTCATCTTCATTTGGTAAAAGATAGCCAAGAGAAATTAAATAATGAACAAAAGATGGTTACTTAAGTGTCAATACAGCCTGAACCTTTTAATAAGTACCCTTGATCTAAATAAAGTATCTCTCAATTTCCTACAGTATTTAAAAGTACAGCGGGATAAATCTTATTATAATCTGTGCCAAGGAAATGTCTGTTTTTTTACTCTGTGGAGATTGAGTTATTGGACAGTCTTTTAAATACATGGATCAATAGCTTAGGCTTAATCATATTTTATTCTTCCACAGAGTTTTCTTTTTTTAATTTGTTATAATTGTATGGGAATAGAATTTGGGCTAGATCTCAACTCTATTTTTAGAATATTAAAACTGAATATTAATTCTATGAATACTGACAAACTTCCTAATAAGAATTAATTTCATCTAACCGCATCCTTGTGTGACTGACTGTCACAGTCTTGACAAAGTGCTTTCAGGTGCCATTCAGTGATATATACACTATAGGCTGCCAAGCTCATCCAAAGGATCAGCCTGAAAATGGTGGGCCCGCAATAAAAGCCTGTAAAATGGAGGAGGGTCTCAAAGACATCTTCAGCTGTTCTGTATCAGCAGCAGAAATCCTAGATTCCTCTTTTGAAATTTCTTTCTGAATAATCTTACTTTAGTATTTATTTCAATTATATAGGCTAAAATCATATATTTACATTCATACATCTATATTTGTTTTATATATATAACAGTAATATTATTTTATCATCTTTGGGTACTTTATTATGCCCCTCCATTTTTTTTAATGTTTCACAAATGAGCATGAAAAACCAAACAGCTATGTCCAAGTCTTTAAAATAATTTTTTTTTTAGAAAGGTTACCGGTAAGCCTGGAGCCAATGCTAATATCCAAAACAAACCTCAAATATGTGCGTGTGGCTTTGGCTAGTTATTTCTGAATAAAAATTCAAGTGTTCCAAAGAGAAGAAACTTTATCCATTGTATTTTTAAAGAGTCTTATTCACTGTTGGAACTTAAAATAAAAAAACTTCCCTAGTAATGTAAGCAATTAGGAGAGTGTTTTTTTTTTTGGGCCATAGTTTGATCAATTATAGAGACATCTCTATAGGGCAAGTAATCTTTTATTTCTTCATTTGGAACTGCCACTCTAATAGGCAAACCATTAAAGTACAAACCATTTAAATACATAAATGCACGCTAAAATTGTGGCATGATGTTTGAGGTAAGGAAAAGAAATTCACTACTTCTGGGCTCTCATGGGGAGGGAAAGCCTCTATATCCTTATATTAAGTGCATTCCTTTCTCTCCTTGATATGATAAACACAAAGTGTTCATAAAGAGAGGCAAAAGTGTAGCAGAAAAGAATAAAAAGATAAAAATAAAGTTGCCTCAAAAAGAGAAAATGCAGAGAATAGAGACACTATAGATAGTGGCACAATTGAGAGATTTAAAGATCAGCTTCTCAGTGTCTAGAAAAGAACTAAGGGTATTTAAGAAATATTAAACTAGGGATGTTTAGATTTCTCTATGAAGCAAAAAGGAGAACTGAAAATTTTATATTAGGTCCTATTATCATTCAAACAGAAGAGGGAGAATGATTCTTGCCAGTATCCAACAAAAGATGATTTTTAAAATAGTGCAATCTTATGTTCTAAAAGGAAAAAATTATTAAGAATTTCTTTTAATTGGCTATAAGGGATTTTTAAGTCAATATTTTATAAAGCTTAGTTGATAACCATTATTTTTTCTTTAAACAATGCTATGCAATTTTTTATTATTATAACCTAGAATTTTTCAACATATAAAATCTATTCTTCAATGAAAGAAGGTATTCTTCTAGAATTAAGACCAACATTTAGTACACTATAAACAATGATTGACAGTCATAGCAAATAATATAACATTTTTCTGTGTAATCTATAAGGCATCTTTTCATATATTATCTCATGGGATGTACAGAAAAAATGCCCTAAGGTAGAAATGGTAGGTGTTGTATCACAGACAAGTAAACTCAAGTTTACAGGATTATGTGACCTGATCACTTCTTACTATTATGATGAGCTAAGACCAGATAGCCCAGGAATTAATTTCTATGTAAGAAATTTTAATGACATTATCTAATTTGTCAACCAAAAACAAAATCCTCTTTTTCCTATTAAATTGAGATAAATACACACAGAAAACAATCCAGCTAGAATCACTAAATAGTAACCTGACGAAATAAATACATATCCATAAAAGACAAACACATTACTAACTAGAAAGTGTCTTGATAGAAAACATAAGTCAATGCACAGATATAACTCATGAACTCAACTTACTTTCTGTTTTCCTGTTGTTAATCAATTTATTTTCCAATTCTTCCAGCATACTATGCTCGATTCTGAAGTCACTTTTTTGGTTGTAGAAATGACTGTGTTTATCTTTTTCTATGTTAATAACTCTTTAGAAAAAGAAATAAATGGTATAAATATGACTTAAATATATTTTAATTGTTTAAAATATGAAGACACATAATAATCAGATCTTTATATTTGGAGTCACTCATCTAAGGAGTCAAAATATAATGACTTGAATAATAAGGCTAAGGAGTCAAAATAGTATTATAATTTATTTAACCTGGAATACAATGCAGTGGCACTGTGTTCTATGTACTAATAAGGAAAGATTTCCACTACACACACTTTTTATAACAAACAATTTATATGACAATGTTAGTTATACCCAAAGGTAAAAAATGCTAAATTGTATACTTTCAAATAATATTATTTCCCTCATATCACTCTGATTCAACAATTTTACCTCTTCTTCCTCTCTTGGCTCATCTATCTTTCTTTTTACTTTTAGCTTAAGTATTCTAAATTAAGCCCATTTCATTTTTAATTTCACCCCAACATATTTCAGTGTACATCTCTAGAGATTATGGATATTTGCCTTACATCACTAAAATGCTACTATCATGCCTGAGAAAATACAATCCCTTAGTATCTAAGATATACTCTTAAGTTTAAAAAAGCACACCAACATGAAAGGTCCAGAACAGATATTAAAATTTATATAAAAAAGACAAACTATGAATATGCACTTTTACTTCCTTATAAGCACAGATTATAAAATATATGTGGTACAATATACAAGAAACTAAAAATATTGGCTGTGTGAGAGGAGGGGAAGTGGGCAGCTGGGGTCACCAGCAAAACAAACTTTTCACTGAGTATCTTTTGATATGTATTGATTTTTAAACCAGTGAATGTTTTATCTATTCTGAAAATAAAAGTTATATTACAAATTGTGCTTTTTTCTTTATATGCAATGAGAAGTGCTGGATAAAAATATTCTTCCAATGGATTTTTATAACAATCTCCCAATGAGTTTTTCCAAAACCTTTTAACAGATGAAGAAAGCCTGCTGAGAGCTGTAAAACCAGCACATTCTGGTAGACAAATATCAAGACTGGCATAATCTACTGGTTTGCTATATATATATGTAAAATATCCATATTAACTCCTTGGTAGATTATTAGTCTAGAGAGAAACATATACCAGAACCCCTAACCAAGAGTCTAACACTATCCAAGGTAATACATTTTAGAAATCAAAGAAAATAAAACTGTATTTTCTCAAATTCTGAGTATTAAAAGTAATATATGAGTATTACATAAGTGCAATTGAGAATTCAATCTCCCAAAGCTATAGTATAGTACAACTTTCCAAATTTCAAACAATATTACTTTTTTATTGGTAGAATTTCTAAACAGATAACTGCCACTAATTCTGGTCCAGAGAGCATTTTTTTTTTTTTTTTTTTATAAATCTCCTTTTCTGTGGGTTGATAAATTAATAAATTGATACTTTATAATTTCTGTGGATTGATAAACTATAAATTGATACTTTATAATTTCAAAGAAGTGTTTTAACAAACTTCTCAATTGTAGGGTAGGATTGACTGCTCTGAGTTCTAATTCTTTCATCATTCCTCATGATATATATCATAACATTGAACATTCAATATAGGGTGTCCCATAAAAATGTATATACATATATTTTTGACACCTCAATTAATGTTTCTTTCTCTTCAGATTTAACTCATTGGAATTAATAATTACTCAAAGTATGTATACACTTAACAGGGAGTTGGGGGGTAGACACCCTGTACATATCACTAGTTATTCAAAGAAAAAATACAAATACACCACAAATTAAAAATTCTCAGCCTAATCATTACATGCAGGATTGATCTGAAAAGGGCGAGACCATAAGAGGGAGACCAAATAAAAGGACATTTCAAAAAATAACTCGAGGTAGAGACTTTTCATTAAAATTGTTCACTCACTCAAAAATATTTACCAAATGTTAACCTTGGTAAGTGAAATATATTCAATCTGTTATTTGATATATGAGATCTAAAGAAATAACTATATTGTTTTCTTTGAAAGACATTGGTTCAAATGGTAAAAATAAATAAAATTCAAATAACTGCATTTAAAATTATATTAAATAGTCTCTTATCATTTGTCTATTGTACACACTCCACCTTTCTCTAATGACCAGAATTTTGTACTTACTGTGGAGATTGGATAGGGAGTAGTAGAATTAATTTTATACATTATTCATAATAAAATGGCTAGTAATGTTATTTGGAGACAGTGTCTTTATACTTACAGATTTTTAAATTTTTCTGCTGTGCGTATGAATTCTGCTTTCTTAGGCTGACTAACTTTCTGTTTCCAGTTGTGAAGCTGAAAAGAACGAATTCCACCTGAAGTACCAAAACAGCCATCATTCTGCATTAAAAAAAAAAGAAAAAAAAGTTTATCCTAAATAATAAAAATGGTAAAAGATTAAGGTGGAATTTTTTTTCAGAGATGAAATGTCAATGATGGAGTTTCTCAGGGGATAATTATATCCATTCATCCACTGATGGCTACTGTAAATAAAGTTACAATGAACATGGGGTGCATACATCTATTCAAGTTAATGTTTTGTTTCCTTCAGATAAATGCCTAGAAGTACAATTATTGGATCATATAGTTCTGTTTTTAATTTTTTGAGGAACCTATGTATTATTTTCCATAGTGCTGCACCAACTTCCATCAACAGTACACAAGGGTTCCTTTTTCCACATCCTTACCAACACTTGTTGCTTCTTGTTTTTTTGATAATAGCTATTCTAACAAGTGTAAGGTAAATCTTTTTTTTTGTTTTTTTTTTTGTTTTTGTTCTTTAAACCACCCAATCTGAGTTATTTTGTTATGGAGCCCTAAAAGACTAAAACAGAAACTTTAGATATTTTGGCGCATACCTCTAATATCATGAGGTTGTCATCAGAAAATTATTAATTGGTCTCAGTGTTAGAGTCCAAAGGAACATTCATTCATTCATGTAATAAATAGTATGACAATATTCAAGTTCAGTGTTAGGCTATAGAATTTGAGCATATCATTGTGTATATGGGGGAGGGGAGTACAAAGATGGATTAACACATACACTCCTCCCAAATCACAATGTAGTTTAGCAGAGATTCCAATTTCTTTTTTAAAACCGAAACACCCTTGAGTTCTACCCCATCACTGTTGCTAACTGTCAACTGGGAGGCTCTCATCCCCTAAAGTGGTGAGAGGATATAAAGCAGGGTGTCTTAACCTCAGCACTATTATAATATTTTTTTGCTGTGAAGGGCTATTCTTTGGCCTCTACTCACTAGATGCTAGTAAACACCAACCTCCCCCTAACCCCCCACAGCTGTGACAACCAAAAATGTCTTCAGACACTGCAAAATGTTGAGGACCGATACAACATTTGATACAGCTCCATGATGATTTTGATCACCCTGGAAGGCAAACCTCTGAGAATTACTGTAGTGAAGTGACAAAAGTGTACATTGATAATAATATTAAGCAACTTGAGACTGCAAATCAGGAGGTAAAATATATTTGTAAGAATTTAGGAAAGTAATCTCTTTGAACCAAAGTAAGACAAAAAAAGTTTCATGAAGAAAGCCAGCAAGATGGCTAAACCATAAGGTCATACATTAAAAAAATATTTTTTTTCTTTAAAAAAATTATATATATATATATTCTACAGGCCCAGCACGGCACATGAAATTTGTGCGCTGGGGGGGGGGGGGGGGAAGGGGGAGGGGAGAGTCCCTCAGCCTGGCCTGTGCCCTCTCGCAGTTGAGAGCTGTCAGTCGGACATCCTTAGCGCTCCTGCAGAGGCAGGAGCAGCTCCGGCCTCGCTGCTGCACTCCCCAGCTATGAGCTCAGCTTCTGGCTGAGTGGTGCTTCCCCTGTGGGAGCACACTGACCACCAGGGGGCAGCTCCTGCACTGAGCATCTACCCTCTGGTGGGTCAGTGCGCATCATAGTGACTGGTTGTTCCCCAGTTTGGTTGATTTGCATATTAGCCTTTTATTATATAGGATTATGAATCTTTATATATTTTATATATTTTTTGAGTCATTTGGGCCAGAGTTAGAATAATAAAGAGAATTATAAAGGTGTGAGAAAATTTGTTTGAGGTGGAATTTCTACAAGACACTGTATTTCCCTAGAACCTGGGTGGGAAACTTTTTTTCTACTAAGGGCCATTTGGATATTTATAACATCACTCACAGGCCATACAAAACTACCAACTTAAAAAATATCCTGCTATATTTGGTCAAACATTTTTTTTTTGTCGGGTTTTCTTTTCTTTTTTTTAAAGTTATGAATTCTTTTTTTTTATTATTAAATTATTATCTGTGTACATATTAACTAACTCACCCTTAATGCCTTGGCAGGGCCAGAGCAAATGATTTCTCTGGCCTTATAATGGCTGTGGGCTGGACATTTCCCATCCCTCAGGAAGAAAAAGATGGAACATGTCCTCAGCTCACAACAACCTTCCTTCACAAAGATTTAGTGAGCACGTGCTACGCTCCAGGACTACCGTAAACAGGCACAGTTCTTGATGTTGGGAACACAATAGTGAATAAAACCTCCTGCCCTTACAGAGTTTACATTCCTAAGGGTGGATGGTATAAGGAGAAAGACATTTTAAAAATAGGTATAAAATATGCAACATATCATGGTAATAAAGTGTTATGAAGAAAAAGAAAGCCAGAAAAAGGGTCGGGGCTGCACTGGGTAAGGGAATTCAGTTTGGGGGAGGGATAGAAAGAACCATTGAGCTGATGGCGTTTTGCACAAAGGCATCTGAAGGCGGTGACAGCGCTAGGCCTGGGGAAGAGCAGAGGGAAGAGCAATTTGAAAGCCCTGAGGCAGGAGAGTGCTCACTGGCCTGAGTGAAGGCCAGGGAGCCAGAATGGCTGCAGCAGGCACTGGCGGTGCAGGGGCAGGAGGTGGGCGAGGGCGGGGCAGCCCATCGGCGGGGTGAGGATGCTGGCTTTTATCGTGAATGAGATCCAGACGCTCTCCGAGGCTCCTGGGCAGAAGCGGGTCCTTACTGGACCGAACCACCCTGCTGTGGAGAACACTTTAAAAAGGCAGGAGTGGAAGAATAGAAACCCCGTGGGGGAGTATTTCAGGCAGGAAGAAATGATGGTGGGCACCAGGGAAGCGGTGAGAAGAGGGGGACTCTGGGTTTACCCTGAAGGTGGAGCAGACAGGACTGGGGGAGAATCGGAGCCAACACCTTTGACCCGAGCTCCGGGAACCAGCAGTTCTCCTGGAGGGGCCCTCTGGTTTGCATTGTGGAGAAGGGGGTCCCAAATGATCTCAGGAAACACACCTGCCTGGGGCCCTCCCTGTCAGGTCCCGTAACAGAGCAGCCACGGAGCAATCCCTCGGCACAGAGTCTCCCCACCAAGCCTCGCACCGGGGACTCCATGGCCGCAGGTGGGGCAGGTGCACGCCGCCGGCTGCAGGTTTTCAGGGAAGAACCCGAGTCGCGGGGAGGATGGCTCTCCGGAAAAAGCCGTTGAGCGCACAGGCGAACAAAGCGCTGCGCCGGGCGGTGCCAGGCCTCCAGGGCGGGGGACGGACACCTCCCGGCCGCGCGGCGGACACCTGTTCGGACCCCGCGGGCCCCCGGCCGCCACCAGAGGCTCCGGCCTCCGCCCTTACCTGTGGCGGCACCGGCGCTGCTCCCACGCCGCTCCCGGCGGCCGCGCCCGCCCCCGCCACAGCCCCGGCCACCGCCGTTGCCGCCGCCGCCACCACCACCGTCGTCAGGGCAGCCATCTTTCCTCGCCGAGCCGCTCCGGCCGCTGCGACCTCCCCGACCTGAGGGTTCAGGCGCCGGACGCTCCCGGAAAGGCAGATGCTGCACGAAGCTGCCGGGCTCCGGGGCTGCGTGGGGATGCCGGGCCCGGCGTGGATACGGGGCGGGGCCGGAGCACGGGGGGGGGGCGGCGGGGGCGTGGCTACGGGGCAGGGCCGGAGCGCGGGGGGGCGGGGCCGGAGAGTGGCTACGGTGCAGGGTGGAGCGCGGGGGCGGGGCCGGAGCGGCGGGGGCGGGGGCGGGCGTGGCTACGGGGCAGGGCTGGAGCGCGGGGGCGGGGCTGGAGGGGGGGGCGGGACCGGAGAGTGGCTACGGGGCAGGGCTGGAGTGCGGGAGCGGGGCCGGAGCGCGGGGGCGGGGCCGGAGCGGGGGGGGGGGCGGGACCGGAGAGTGGCTACGGGGCAGGGCTGGAGTGCGGGGGCGGGGCCGGAGCGCGGGGGCGGGGCCGGAGCGCGGGGGCGGGGCCGGGCGAGGCTACGGGGCGGGGCCGGGTTGGGGCGCAGGTTAAGTAGAGGCCTGGCTTGGCTCTGAGCTGGGGGGGAGGTGAGAGGATGCAGGGGGCGGGGGCGGTGTATAGCCTTCTCAGCAAAATCTTTCTACACCTAACCTCACCCGTTCCCTGACCGCCAGAAAAATTCATTGCTTTTTAGTCTCATCCTGAATTGTATTCTTGACATATATAGAAATATCTGTATCTATCTTAAGATACAGAAAGTTTACGTAATAGAACTTATTTCTAGGTTCCTACTAAGTGCTGGTGAGACTGAATCTAAATGAAAAGGTATTATGGATGAACTTGAACAAAAACTATATTTCACTTTTTAAATAAACAACCAGAGCATACCCCACACTATTAGATACGAGAGACAGGAATGCATCAAGGACTTGAGGTTTTTGTCTTTCCTTAATATGTTATATGCATTTCTTTTCTCACTGAAATTCTGGGTTCCTTAGAATATCAGCATACTTACTTATTTGCTTTTACTCACACAATTAGGTAGTTTCCAATTACAATTCTAATATTACCACTAACAGTAGTAAACTTACCAAGTGACGTTTAAGACCATTTTGCAGTTCTTTTCATCCTTGGAATATCTTCTGGACAGGATATCCAGGCAGAGTGCTATGTTCAAAAGTTTTCTGAAATCTAATCTGTCTTTTCTCTGTGTGGTTATAAAATCAATTTGTATATAGTTGGGTCCTTTCGGTTGTATTTGTGTTCAATTTCAGTGTTTTCTCTTTTTACCCCCTCCCCCACTGGATGCCAGTAGAAAATAAAGAAGACAATCAATCGTGTTTGAATGGTTGTTGTCATTTGTAGGTAGTCCCAGGTTTACCTTCCTTAGATCAGCCTTGGGAAAATGAAAAATCTTCAGTGTGGTTGGCAGTTTTATGACTATCCCACTTAGACCCAATTGAGCACTTTCCCCTGAGAATTCCAACTTATTTGATGAACCTGAACCTATCATTTAAAAAATAATTTCAGAAAAAGTAATCAGAAGGTCATTCTTTTATAGTTAAAGAGAAAATCAAACTGTCATATTATCTACATTTTCATAAGAACAAAATTACTTTTCAATTAAGTATTGATTCTTTCTTGATAACTTAAAATAAAAAAAAGCAGATCCCTATACACCAATGTACAAGTTAACAAGTTATAAATCAATAAACTAATAAAGAAAACAATGAGTGGTTGGGACTTCTGTAATGTTGGAGTTTTTGTTGTTGTTGTTGTTATTATTATTTTTACAATTATTATGTATTAACTAGAGACCCAGTACATGAATTCGTGCATGGTGATTGGGGAAGTCCTTCATCCTGGCCAGATTGGAGACTTTTGTGGGCCCGGCCAGCAGAGGGGAGGGAACACGGGAGGTTGGCCAGCTGGCCCCCTAGTTGGGGTTGGCTGTGGGTGTCATAGCAACTGGTCAGCCAGTTGTTCTGGTCGTTCAAGTTGTTTGGTTGTATGGTCACTTAGGCTTTAATATATAGAGATTTGAGCAGTTATACTGGTACCTCTGGGCTTCTTTTTATTGGAGAAAAACAACCAGAAAAATTTTAAAACACTGCTTTTTATATTTTTGCTGAGATGATCCTGCCACTGCCAGCTTAACATTAACTGATACCTATAAAATGTAACAAATAGTAAATGTCTAGTGATGGGCATAATTTGGAGCACAGAAATATTTTATGACTTACTCATGTTGGCAAAAAAAAAAAAAATCAACAAGTATTAGAACTATTACCATGGAAAGACTGTAGATAGCAAACCAGTTGCCAAAGACAGGGAAGTACATGGAAGTGGAAATACCACTCTGATTTGAGCTTGGAAGTAGGCAGTATTGAGAGACTGCACAGATGGTATTATAGAGCAGTGTGAGGGAAGAATCTGGTGAAACTTTGGTGGGATCAAAAATGAAAGGAAAAACAAGAAAAGAAAGGTTTTGGGTTTGTCAAATTTGTAAATTCAAGTGTGTGCTTGACGTAACCGCTGGTGTAAATGAGTGAGAGATAATGACTAGTTCTTGTAGATCTATTTCCTATCAATGTTTCTGCAAGGACTGATCCTTAGTTTTGCAGGCAGGGATGTTCACTCTCTTGGCAGAGCTCGGGATCATAGCTTTCAGACAGATTGCAAAACTGCTCTACCTCCTTAAGGCTGCCAAGCCATGGGGAGACTTCCCGGAAAAGGGCATAATAAGGGAGGAATGGGCTCTCAATATAGAATGGCTTACATGACATATTTTATATGCATGTAAATCTAAAAATTTGTAAGATAGATCTAACATATTGAACTCTATTCATTGAAAGCAGGAACTATACCTTCCGTTTTAACATTCATGTAACATTCACAAAAAATGGCCATTTAGCTGAAACCGGTTTAGCTCAGTGGATAGAGCGTCGGCCTGCGGACTGAAAGGTACCTGGTTCGATTCTGGTCAAGAGGCATGTATATTGGTTGCGGGCATATCCCCAGTGGGGAGTGTGCAAGAGGCAGCTGATCGATGTTTCTAACACTCTATCCCTCTCTCTTCCTCTCTGTAAAAAATAATAATAAATATATATATATATATATATATATATATATTTTAAATGGCCATTTATTTAGGTCACAAATCCTCAATAAATGCCAAAGAGCAGAAATAATACAGATATAATTCTCTGGTCACAAGCAAACTAACTGAGAAAGCAAAGAGACTGTATTACCTGGAATTTTAAACCTTTAGAGTCAAAAAGGATATAAAAAAGTAAAACTGAAAATGAATTAGAAAACATTGTTGACATTACATATTAGTATCCATGGATTATAGCTAAAGCAATCCTCACAAGAAAATTAGCTTTCAATAATTATATTAATAAATAAGAAAGAATAAAAATAAATGAATTAGCTACTCAGCTTAGGAGGAAATCAACAAACAAACAAAAAGGAATAAAGAAAAAAAATGAATTAAGAAGTGTTAAAGCAGAAAGTAATAAAATAAAAGCAGATAAATGGTGATTACAATGAATAAATTTTACAAATTAAGGATAAACCCACTAGCTAACCTGATCAAGAAATCAGGTAGCATAAATAACATTAAAAAAAAAATAAAAGAGAATTTATAAGACTACTTTGCTCAATTATCTGCAAATAAATTTGAAAATCTAAATAAAAATAATTTTTCTAAAAAAGACTGTTTTCTAAAATTGATAAATTAAAAATTTAAACATTAAACATTAAAAACCTAAAAAAAAAAAAAAAAAAAAAAGGAAAAAGTTGTCAAAACGATAGGCTCCCAAAGACCACCAAGCCTAGAGGGCTTCACAGGTTAATTTTACCAAATATTATGGAATAAGTAGGCTCTAATGTTTTTAAATTATTCCAGAACAGGAACAAAACAAAGAAAATTCCAAATTCTAATAATAAAAGTGACATATGCTTCTTACTCAAAACTGACAGCAATTGCACACACAATACCTGACAAAAATCAATTATAACTATTGCTACAAAAAACATTTACTAAGGTTTTAGCAAATGAAATCTAGCAGCATCTCTGAGGAAGGAAAAGAAAAATACTTTCCTCCATAGGATCATAAGAATGATTCAATATTATTCACTATGTTGGGAAGTGGTTGGGTACAGTCAGTTGGCTCATCCAGCATCTATTCCTATCTCTTTTTAGCGTGCCATCCGATTCTACATAGGCTGGAAAGCTCAGGATTCTCGTTTCCCAAGCTCCCTTGCAGCTAGGGCCCTCAATGTAAAATACGTTTTGCCAATAAGATGCATCCTGTGGAACTTGATTTCAAACTCAATTAAATAGGAGAAAAGGTGATGCCTGAGGCATACATTTTGCGGGTGTGTGTGTGTAGCAGACAGGATGAAACTCTGGAGCTGACAGTTCAAGCATCAGTTTCCTGATCTAGAAGTGACAGGTAAGGAGTGTTCTCCTGGAGCTATGAATTTTGATAGCAATTTCTCATTCCTAGACCACATCAAGATCTGTGCTCCTGAGCTAAGGGATGGGTGTGAGTCTGACTTCCTAACTGCCGCAGAGGGAGGGAGTGGGTCTCTTGTGGGGCAGTGCTGCAGTGTGGTTCTGGGAGGTAAGCTGGGAGTTAGCCTCCTCCTCCAGCTCTTCACTGATTTTCATTCCTGGCATTAAATCCCTTTCTGTTTTCTGCAACTGAACCCTGGCTGATAAAATAGATTACAAGAAAAAAATTGTATGATTTTATCCAAATATGCTGGGAAGACATTTGATAAATTTTCAACATCCATATTTGACTTTAAAAAAATCTTCATAAAGTAGGGAAGATAGCATTTTAAAAGCATTGTTAGTATGTTTAATGAGGAAGCCCTAGACACATTCCCATTAAAATCGACAGCAAGACAATTATGTCTACAGTCTGTTATTTAGCATAGTTCTGGAGGCTTTCCAATGGAATTAGGCAAGAGAAAAACATAAGAGGTATAAAT